TGAGGAATAATCGATTTGAGGCAATTGGAATTGAAGCTTCAAATAATTTATCACCGCTGGACCGTTGACAGGGCTGGTTGGAAGGTTGGCCATTCCAGGTCACTCCCCTTGTGGCCACAATGATTTAAGTGCATGAACTAGTTCACTTTTAATGAACTGGTAACTGAAAGTTCGAGCACACGGTCACTTTTGCTTGAGCAGCCGCGCGGTTAGGTCTTGCAAGGAAGTTTTGTCTTGCTGAAAAAAATCCCTCCTCCTCCCCGTTCGTAGCCACCTTTTTGCACATATTCCGCTTAAACATTGCCTTGGTCAATTTTGTTTTTTCGGATTGCTTGATTATGTTTGCGTGATTTTGCCGATTCTAGAGTGTTTGACGCAGTAATCTTGAATTTGAAGTACTCGGTTGCCATTTTTAGCGGAGCCAGAAAGGAATTTCCCCCTTTTTTCCCACATTGGTTTTGAGGGGGTTTTCGCCTTTCTTAGAAGCGGCATTATCACTGACAGACATGTCCGTTTGGCGGGAATTCCATTCCGAGACCACAAATAGGCCTCAGATTTTGGCCATTTTATTCTCTTTTTATGATGCTTCAGGGATTTTGCGGGCAAAGCACTTGACCCCTGCTTTTGTCGGTTCAGGCACAAGATGATTACGGGATTAATCACAAAAGGCAGTCTGTACTATTACCTAGTTTGTTGATTGATTTATACATCAGTTACACTTGAAGTTTATATATCATTATTTGAGCATATCGCAAACAAGCTTATGCCGAAACACGGCCACACAATTATTGCTTTGGGTTTTAAGATATTGCTTTTAATAGTTGGCCATTCTGATGTGGTTTAATGGATTATTAATTGTTTCTTATTATATGCTCGTGGTATTTGTGTACTCAGCTAATGACGGTTGCATTATGTACTATTACTGATTCTGGTTTTGCATCTTAATTATCTTGCTCATGGCAATTGCAGTTCCGCGTCACCAGTTCGGACCGGAATTAACAGTATCAATACTGTATTGCTTATAATTGCGGTTTTGCTATCAAGCTTTGGAGGGGAGCAGACTTTGACAAGATTGTTTTAACTATACTTGCTAAGTATAATTGCAGTTCCGCGCTATCAGCTTCGGGCGGGAACAATCTGTGAGAATAATGCTGAACAATCTGTGGTATTGTTGCTATGTATACATGTAATTGCTGTTCCGCGCTATCAGCTTTGGGCGGGAACAATCTGTGAGAATAATGCTGAACAATCTGTGGTATTGTTGCTATGTATACATGTAATTGCTGTTCCGCGCTATCAGCTTTGGGCGGGAACAATCTGTGAGAATAATGCTGAACAATCTGTGGTATTGTTGCTATGTATACATGTAATTGCTGTTCTGCGCTATCCGCTTCGGGCGGGAACAATCTGTGAGATTAATGCTGAACAATCTGTGGTATTGTTGCTATGTATACATGTAATTGCAGTTCTGCGCTATCAGCTTCGGGCGGGAACAACCTTTTACGTTATTGCCAAATATATTTGCAGTTCTGCGCTATCAGCTTAGGGCGGGAACATGATGTTTGGCATATTGAATAAACGGCTGCTCAGGCCACAGGTAACAAAGAATGCTGAGTGTGCAGCCTCTGATTCCGGTCTCTTGTGTCTTTGGTAGCATGCGGGGATAATGAGCCCAGTGTGTTTGATTAGTTAGGAAGCTGCATACCGCAGCCTAATGTGCAAAACAGTCGTGTGCTCGGCGGATCATTACGCAACAATTGAACACTGCAATTGTGTATTGCAAAAGGCAGACGCGTAGATTTCTACTCTTTGTATCTGGGCACTTAAAGATTCTCACCTCTGTCTTCAGCTACTTCGACTTTCTTAAAAAGAAAAATAGAGACTGTCAGCGAATCTTCGGAAGTTGAAGGATCATTCCTTCAGACTCTGTAAAAGTTCAACATCGGGCTCTTTTTCAACAGCTGTTTTTGTGGAAACTTTCGATTAATATTGTCTACTGATAAGGATATTATTGTATATTACGGCACCCGATTTTATCTTGAGAATTGTTGAGTTTGCAATCGATTATAAGAACGATAAATGATGATAAATGATGAGGACTATGGAAAGGAACGTTCAATGAAGTCAATATCTTGTGGTGGGCGCTTATAGGTAATAATTTATACGCATTTGCTTTTGCTGTAATTTTAAAAAAAATTGAAGGACGGGGCTAGTATTTTATAGCAAATGTCGCTCCACAAGTTTTGTGTTCATAGATGCCGGGGAAAAAACAAGAAACAGATGGCTGTTCTTGTAGTCTAGTTCCCTGACTGACGCCTCAGACTAAACGGAACTATTTTATATACCTCATGGAATTGTCTGGACTGGAGCTGGCTTGCTTCCATTCACGGGTGTGAAACCGATTGCAAACAAAATGTGGACAAACTAAATTCGGTCAATTGGGCAGCATTTGAAAAAGCCGGGTTTTTCCAACGATGGCTCGGCCAAACCATCATTGGAAAAATGATACAAAATTCCACTTATCTTAGAAATGACAGCATAGCCATATACCAGGTGCCATGATTTCACAGGATGTTTGAGACTATTTTTTGCTGCCAGTCAAGTAAGGTATTGCACAATAATTTGGTAGTTTCGTTTTCTAATGTTCGCAAAATGTACATTAGCTTTAACTGTTAAAGAGAATACTTGCCTAGATTGCAAACTTTGAGCACGCTACTCTTTTTACGGTTAAAAAGAAATATGCCAAGAAATATAACAAATTGTATTCAGAATTTAATGGCAGCTATGATGTGAATATTTTGTTTAATTCTTTTTTTTTTTTTTTTTTTTTTTTTATGTTAACTTCACTCAGGCTTAGCAAGAGTTTTAATCAGTCGATGTTCCAGAGTAAACACGTTTTAGGCTGGTCTCTATAAAGAGGTATTAGTTTCTGATTATATTTTGACATTTTGAAGTATCATGTTATTGTTTATTGTGCCGAGTTAATATTATTGCGGCATTGTGACTTGAACCAAAAAATCTCCAGAAATCAGTGATTGTCAAGTGACTGCTTAAGTAATACTTCTCCGCTGAAAATCTGTTCTTGACGAAGAGTGTATTAAGATACCTTATTAGGGAGACACTTCCTAGTATATTATTTTATATTAGTAATACTAAAAGTAATACTTTTCTGCTGATAATCTGCTCTTGATAAAGAGTGTACATGTATTAAGATACCTTATTAGGGAGACACTTCTTAGTATATCATTTTATATTAGGTAGACATTAGTAATAAAACTTTCGCGCATCACTCCTGTATTAGCAATCTCCACTGGCTTCCAGTATCATACAGAATCAAATACAAACTTGGCCTATTTGTGTACAAAATCCTCCACAACCATGCCCCGGAGTATCTCATCGAGCTCATCCACCCGTACTCAACAGCACGCACCGGACTCCGCTCCAGTGAGCTCATGATGCTTCATGAGCCCAGGACCTCCACTCTTTGGGGTGACAGATCCTTTACTGCAGCGTCAACCCGAGTGCGGAACCAACTCCCTCTGGCTATCAAATCATCTCCATCCATCACAACATTTAAGACAGACATAAAATCTCACCTGTACAAACAAGCTTACTCTCACAACACACAATCCTAACTTGACTTTCTCCTCAAGCGCCATGAGCGCCTTTTTAGGCGGATACCGGCGCATTACAAATATCTTTACTATTTATTATTATTATTATGTCTTAAAAAGCATGGTTATCACAATAAAAAGGCAGACAAAACTGGTTTCCTAGTTATAAATTTATTGCAATCCAGCTGGCTAACAAAACATGTAGCCGGTGTCAAAATTAATGACAGAAATGTGTATGTTTTATGACATGATAAAGCAAAGTATTTTTTACCCCCAAAGCATCTTTAAAAATCTTTTTAGGTGCACATTTTGACAAAAAGCCTGTGCCTAAATTTTTGAGCTGGGAAAACCTTAAACTGAATAACCAGAAACAAATATATTAAACGAAAATGTTATTCATCACTACACATCTACCCAATTTTAAGAAGAAAAAAAAAAAGGATCATTATTTTTTGTAGAAAAGTCAAGTCAATTTTTACAAAATCTTAACAATGCTAATTTAATAAACCATGATTAGATCACAAACAATGCAAGTCCTGTACAAAAAAAAACACCAAATATGGACAACAACACATGTTGGCTAGCTTGGGTGTATTAAAATACTGGCGGTTTTTGTTTTTACATGCTAACATATCAAATGAATTTAAAGGCACACCACGCCCAATGGGCTAGGGTTTACTTTGGTTTTAAAATGATATATACATGTAAAACACCCCTTAGGCCAAAAAAAAAAGTCTCCGGTTTCTGGTATGGAGCTTGCCCAAAAAGTGGTGCGGCAACGCGGCTTTTTTTTTTTTTTTACCTGATTTTTTTGCTTCAAATGTCGGCTGATGACTGCAAATGGTGCCCGACTATTAAAACTTAGTGCAAATATATGGGAGACCAGTGAGGCCACATAAAGCTTATTCTCGACCATAACCCAATCTAAAAACCGTTAAAATTGTGCAGCAGCAGGATTCCAGTCAAACCAGTGAGTTTGGCGGTTTTGAGACATCATCTTTCATTGAAAAAAACCCTTTTTCATTTTGCCGACGCGCATGGCTACGGCGACACGCGCGCATACCAGAAACCGGAGACCTTTTTTTTGGGCCTTAGTCTTTAATAGTCTGATTGTGTTATTTTCATGATGGACACTAAAATTGTCTTCAAATCAAGCTCCGGAGCTCAGTCAAACGGATGGAATAACGCCATCCGTGGACAAACAGGTTTAGCTCATGAAAATATTAAACTACCGTAATCAAATATAAAATTATTCGGAAAATGTACATGTTTTGTACAGCACTACTGTTATCACAATGTTGAATCTGATCGTCTTATGATAACGTCATTCATATAGAGCTTTGGGGAATGTTGTTAGCTACATTTGATACCCCGTTTGCTACCAAAGAATGTAAATCGTCCAAGATTGACAGCGGTTTATGAAAAATGACGCTGTTTGAAAAGTTGCAAATTTAAAGAGTACAGGAATGGAAAGTGCTGCATGACAATTATGTCACACTGCCCGAAACGAACGGCAGGGAATACCGATCGCACAGTTCTTGTATGCATGGGAGCGTGCGAAATTGAATTACCTGCGCTTTATTATGGCACTGTGCAGTCCACAGGGGCAAATTACGGACATGTGTGTTTGCGTTAAGCAATTTCTCCTCGCGTAATTGTTAAATCTACACTTTAGAAACTGCATAATTTTTATAAACCCTTGTCAATCTTGGACAATTTGTACTCTTTGGTAGCAAACAGGGTATCGAAATGTAGATAACATTCCCCAAAGGTCTATATAAATGACGTCATCATAAGACGATCAGATTCAAAATTATGACTCCTCCAATGCGTGTGGACTTTCTTTTTTGCGGTGTTTATCTCGAAACCATTTTTTTTGCGGTGTTTATCTCGAAACCAGAATCTAGTTGGGTCTGTGCTGAGTCACATCTAATGCTTTTTGTATAAAGGGCGCAAATTTGGAACAACTATTTTAAATGGGTGTTTGGCTAGAAAACATTTGCACTCTACCGAGACTGTTCTGGGTACTATTGAAGAACTGAGCGGAATAAATAAGATCTGGTTTATTTCTTGAATGCCATGACCCAGTCGATGCCCATGTTGACTTCCGGTTTCCTTATAACGAGTACTTTGTTCTCTTCGTTAAAGCTAAACTCCACATTGTGGGTTGATATAACTGCAAAGAAATGAAGACATTGAAAAATAATTTACATATAATTCAGATTTTTAAAATTGTCCTAAACAGTTCAAGTGCCCAAGTTATCGGTTTTTGAAATAGACCCTTGTGTGTCAGTCTTATTTTTCAGTCTCCGAACTGCTAAAATTGGTTTTTGTGAAAATAAATTATATTTCCATTAATATTGAGAAGAAGAACTGTGATGTCGTCTCGGCTGAAGCATATTTTCAGGTAGGGAGGTTTTGGGTGTTACAGTGAGTAATAGGCAGGGCGGTTTGGGCGCTTCAGTGAGTAATAGGGAGGTTTCGGGCGCTACAGTGAGTAATAGGCAGGGCGGTTTTGGGTGCTACAGTGAGTAACAGGCAGGGAGGTTTTGGGTGTTACAGGGAGTAATAGGCAGGGCAGTTTTGGGCGCTACAGTGAGTAATAGGCAGGGCGGTCTGGGGCACTGCAGTGAGTAATAGGCAGGGAGGTTTTGGGTGGTACAGTGAGTAATAGGCAAGGCGGTTTCAGGCGCTTCAGTGAGTAATTGGCAGGGCGGTTTCAGGCGCTACAGGGAGTAATAGGCAGGGCGGTTTTGGGCGCTACAGGGAGTAATAGGCAGGGTGGTTTTGGGTGCTACAGTGAGTAACAGGCAGGGCAGTTTTGGGCGCTACAGTGAGTAATAGGCAGGGCGGTGTGGGCGCTTCAGTGAGTAATAGGGAGGTTTTGGGCGCTACAGTGAGTAAATAGGGAGGTTTCGGGCGCTACAGTGAGTAATAGGCAGGGCGGTCTGGGGCACTGCAGTGAGTAATAGGTAGGGAGGTTTTGGGTGGTACAGTGAGTAATAGGCAGCGGTTTTGGGCGCTACAGTGAGTAATAGGCAGGGCGGTTTGGGGCGCTACAGGGAGTAATAGGCAGGGCAGTTCTGGGCGCTACAGTGAGTAATTGGCGGGGCAGTTTGGGGCGCTACAGGGAGTAATAGGCAGGGCAGTTTGGGGCGCTACGGTGACCAAAGTGTTAACTTTACAAGCAAGGAAAAAGTACTTACAATCTCCAGATAGTTCAATAGAACTTGGTGATTTTTCCAGTCCTATAACCACCACTCTCTCCAACCAGGATTTAGTCTGGTACCTTCCATTCATGTCTATGGACCTGAACAGTGGTGAAATACATTGAGTTGTATCAGTGCAACTTCAATCGGACATTCCGTTGACAAGTTACGGCTGTTTAAAGCTTGCGTTTATCGATGCCAAAAAGGTGAAATACTGAGAAAATGACCTTTAACCCTAACGATCCCCAACCAGCCAAACTCCAACACCAGGGTTTGTTGGAATCTGTTAGGATGAGCACTGCACTGGTAAACTGACTATGCTTTACGTGGGATTAGGCATACCACAAATAAACAGAGTCCAACTGTTTAGGTGCACAGTTTACCATTATGGTGTTGGGATTTGCAAGGATGAGGAAAGTTCCTAGTAAATCACCCTAGTGAGTTAGGGTTAGTTTCGACTGATTTTAATACAGTCATGAAAAGGAGAGATGTCAATTGTTTTTCCCTAAAAACACTTTTATTCAACAATTTTTATACTCCTTTTTTTACAATATGTGTAGTTGACACTTCAAAGATTACAAAAATCAATTAAATTGAAAATTAAAAAAAAAAAAACAAGCAAAATCACCCCCATTCAGTTGTTTGCATTTTTCTCCACTTCAGTCGGTGCCCAGTTTCATCTCATTTTACCAGAATGCCGCACAATAATTGTGTTCATTTTCCAAAGCACTTGCCAAACCCCAATGAAATCAGTTAAGAAAAAAACCTGCCAGAGACCCAAACTCAGCCAATGAGTGCACTTCAAAATTTAGCCCGTACCAAGACACTTGGATTTGTGGGCACTGGGTACCAGCAAAATTGACAGTTAATCCCAGCTCCTTTGGGTACTTACCTTGATTGAATGACATTGTTTTGGAAGGTGATTTGTTTGTACTGGTAGAGACCTGATTGGAAGTCGAAGGAATGTCCATCATCCATGTAAAGCTGCCCAGATGCCTGTTGCTGTAAAGCATCAAACAAACGTCCAGTGTTAAAATTCATTCAAATTAGAACTTAAATCATTATCGCCCGTACTACATTGTACAAGGGATGCGTTCGATTAGCTCACCGGGGTTGACTCGGTTTAGCCCGTGCCGTTTATTTAGCTCTGACATCATTCTTGGGGCTCACCTGGGTCAGCCACCACAGACCCTGCTCTTGGAGCAGAGTCACTGGTGGAAATACGTCACACGCTTGCGTTGTTCATTCCAAGAAACGGACAAATATGGCGGCCGGACAGCGGAGAAATTGACCCCACATTTCATTGTCAGAATTTCCATCTAATTGTTTCTTTCTAAAAACTTCTTCAACATTCGGGATTATCATCATCCAACGTGTAATCTCCGACCATTTTGGTCTTGGAGATATAAGGCATGCCCTCTCAAAGAAGCGAAGTGAAACTCCATAAGAGTTCTCTCTGTGTTTTTGTGGGTTTTTTTCAAAAATGTTCAGCAAAGAAGTGCAGTGAAAATCTTTAACACGTATGTCTCCAGTTTGGAGACATATAACAGGGCAAGTTCTTATCAGAACTAAATATCTACTGAGCGACAGAAGTTATTACCACATGGTGCTACTGCAAAACAAAACCTAAAACCCATTGTAATGTTTACCTTAGTATCCAAGGCAACGATGAGCGTGTAAGGATCGTCCAGACCCAGGGCCGAGCAGCGACGGACTCGCTCCTTGCGGGGGATGATGGTGCCTCCACGCTGGTAGACGGGGATCTGGTAGACAAGAAGAGCAAATCAAAGGAATATTATTCCAGCTCTATGGCTATATGCCAGGGGGTATATCATGTAGCTGCTAATAATCAAAGAAATTGGCTAAGCGCAAATAGAACAGAGGTGAGTTTAAGGGAAACTGAAAAATCCACAGTATAATCAACAGAGTGTTTCAGGGTTGCGGAGGGCCCAGAGTAACATGGGTCACAGTAGTACACGGCACCTAACCATTTCTTTTGTTCTGTATAAACTTTTAAGTAGAAATTCCCACATGACGTTTCTGCAAACCTTTCATTCATTAGTATCTCCACCATGCAAAGCCTCAAATCTTACTTAGGTAAAAACAAGTTTATGGTAAAATCTCACAAATTCCAGATTTCAAAAGAGATTCTTTAAAAATCCTAAAATCCAGGGAAATATAGCTGAAATCAGGAAAAATCCGGACAAATCTCAACCCTGACAGAAACATTTCGATAAGCAAAAGCAGGTTATGAGCAGAAATGTCCGCAATGCTAAAAATTGGGGCGACTCTTCAATGGAGCTGATCTTTGCTGAGCTAGGAACTTTGCTATTAACTATTTTCTGCTTAGTACAGTAGCTCCATTGGCACAAGAGGGTCACAGGCCCATCAAATATCCTCTAAACCTTGGCCCAATGGACCATTCGGGATCTGGTCATAAGCCTGCGCATACCTTTTCCAGATTGACGTAGACAGACTGTGTACTGGCACCCGTGTATTTCTGAACCGTGTTGACATCATACCAGACCTGTAGAAAAACGGGTGAAATTTTCTTCAATGCAATTCCGTTCAACAAAATTTCATTCCTGCCATTTAACACTTTGACTGCTGCGCCCGAATATACTCGGGATAGCTTTACACCCCGGCAGGTGCTATGCCCGAGTATACTCGGGCATAGAACCTGCTGGCATGGCCGGGGTGTAAAGCAATCCCGAAAATATTCCTGTGCAGCAGTCAAAGTGTTAATAAAATCAAAAAGGCCATTTGTGTTTTCTAAAAAACTTGTGTAGAACAGACATCCACACTTGATATTAGTATAAGCCCAGTTTCCAACAGGGAACACATCTAAAACACTTCTTGCACCAATCCGAATTGTACTTGGTACTTAGTTGGTTCTTCTCCTAAGAACTCCGCAGGGGAGTTTTAAGAGGAGGCCAGAAACACTGGGGCAAACCCCTTCTCTTAGCGATAAGTGTTACTGGGTTCTTTTACATGCATTACACAACACACGGGACCTATGGCTTTACGTCCTATCCGAAGAAATAAGCAATAATGGTGAAGTGCCTTGCTTAAGGGCACAAGTGTCCAGACCCGGGCTCCAACCCACATTCTGCTGCCTCTGAAACACCAGAGCATGGGTCCGGTGCGGTAGGCCATGACACTCCAATTGTGCAATGTTCCTTAAGGAACAATCTGGAAAAAGCAGCAACATTCCAATTTTTTAATGCTCTCTCGTTGTAAGGACTTTCTTGTATACTATGATAAGGATTGATTATTCTTACCATGTCTTGGCCCGGGAAGTAAACACTGACAGAGGTGGCGCCTTTGTCAGTCACAGGCTTAACAAGCAGGGAATCACCTTCAGGAGGGAAAACAAGGACACAATTGGGAAAACATTTACTAAAAGGAAAACTACAAAAGCTATACACGGTTGACAATAGACAAATTATTTTAAGGTAAAAGTAGAGAAACAATGAATCTATCAATCCATACACACATGCTTGTATTCACCTGTGGGACTCCTCAAGTTTCGCAATAACAATGTGGAGGTAATACATTTTATTCATGACAATGTCAGATGGGAATCCCTTAACTTTGGTTTAAAGTCCATCATTTGTAATTTCTGCATTTTGTTCGTTTGAAGCAACAAACGTGCTCAAAATCTAAAGAAGGGTGCCGAACAACTAACCTGATGAAGTTTCAGTTCAGTGAATGCTGTGTGTTCGCAGAAAACAATATTCTCGGATCTCAATTTCAAATCAAAAGTTGCCGAGTCACGTTTTGAACTGGGCCTGAATTCAGCGTCTGGGACACGTTCTCACTGAGCCGGTAACAGCTACGCGATGTCGCACTCTGAACCGACGAATTACAGGAACCACGCGCACGCGTGTCGTGTCAACGCTTGCTTGTGCTTTGCCGAATCACAAACTACTAACGGAAATTTCCAACGATGTGTCTTTAGGAAATGGCCTTCTTGCAATTTCTTCAAAATAACAGCTGGCCAGAGAGAATAATTTCACAGGGAGTTTATAGTGCCATTACTATCTATAAACCAAGTACGCTTTTCAACAATAATTACGTCAGTTACTTTTTGGATACCTGCAAATGATGGACTGTACCTTTAATATCCATGACAATGTCCGATGAAAAACAACCCCCAAACCCGGTTTTGAAAATGTTTCCCAGCTGGTACATTTCAGAGCTGTTGATTCTGAAGTGCCCCCTCTACTTTTGCTGTATTCTGCCGTCAATTAAACCACAAGAGCCCTTTCCAAATGGAATATTACCTTGCTCCTAACAGAATGAAATTCTAGGCCTGCTAGACGGTAGTGAGAACTTGAAAATTCTTCTTAAGAATGACTAAACAAAATCAGCCTACCTATCATGAACTGGTCCTCCATGGCAAAGGTCTCTTCATCATCAGGAAATCCCTGCCACATCGGTCTAGAAAGAATTGGGTAATAAGAAGTACAGATCCTTAATCTTTATCAGATGAAATGAATTAGCAAGTGGGGAGAAGTGTGTTGAAAAAATTCAGACACTGAATGAGAAAGAAAGTGTTGCTTTTGACCTCTTTGTCCCAGGCAATAAGAGTATTGTTTCAAGATATCATTTGATAGTATGTCCTTCCAGTGACACAAAGTGTTTTTGTTAAACTCATCACAATTCTGTGTTCTCCCGACATTTCAAAGATCTGACATTGTTACATCTTATACATATTCATGAACCATATGAGGACAAGCGATTGTTTGAGTTTCCCAAGCCTTTTTTCCACTTTTGAGAAGGGTACGGATAAAATTGAGCATTTATGTAGTAACAACATAGCATTGTGCTCACCTCATCACAGGGATGCCCGTTTTGGACGCCTTGTAGAACGCCGTGTACCAGAACGGCAGCAAGGCGTAGCGGGTTCGGATCGCGGTCCTCACAATGTCCATCATGTTGGGTGGGAGGAGCCAAGGCTCGCGCCGCTTGGTGTCAAGATGGGCGTGGGCTCGGAAGAATGGTTGGAAAGCAGCAGCCTGGTGTGAGGAAGGAAAAGAACAATTTAGGTTTCAACAGTCTTATCAATCACACCTTATTCACCTGTTTCTTTTTTAACCCTAACCGCCCTGCATCCTTCAAAATCCTCTTTGACAAAGTGGAGGAATTTGGAGGATTGAGGTTAAATGGCAAAAGTGCGTAACTGATTTCGTAGGTTGCACTTTGTCAAGGTCTCGGGCCGGACCTTGTGTTGTTTTTGCTCGGCCGTGCATAAATACAGGCCTGGATTATGCTTGAAATCCTCCGTACTATTCCAGGATGTCACTGGCCAAGTCTCAACATACTGACAGTCACTGCCGCAGGATTTTGCAGGATTCAGGCAGTGGTCACCCCTCCACGGACCATATTCAAGAAATAATGGAGGAAGTTGCAGTATTGAGGCTATGCTATTTTTCCACGAGGCCAATCGGAGGAGTTTCCAGGATTGAGGCTACATCCTAGCAAAAAGGACTAGGGAGTTAGGGTGAAATAGCTTAAAACCCTCCCCTTGAAGATTGTGCTCTTTATTAAAGTTTGATTTGATTAATTTTTTAATTCTCCAACATTTTTTGGTCGAACATTTTACAAGTTCCTCATTCAAACATAGCCAAATAATGTGCTGAGTGTCCCTTTTACCTGCGTTTAACTATCGACCATGAATATCCTAGCCAAACCCCAGCCCCTCTAACAAGAACCACAGCGCAGTTTCACAATGCATTGCACCACCAAGAGTTTGAGAGTTCATTTTCCCAGTGTATTGTAGGAAATGGTCGACAATTCACAGTACGGGACATTTGAAATTTTTAGTTTTTCCGGTCAGTAGTTTCGTAAGCGTATGATTTGAGTATCTGTTTGCCCTTTTCTTTTCTTTTTATCAATATGGTGGTTTTTTATAAGGCGGTGGAATGCTATGCCCTAATCTATAACAAATTTGCTCAAGTTGTTTACTGACACTCATTCAAACGGCAGTGTTCTGTCGACTGTACACTTGAAAAATGGACTCTCCACAGCAAACTCTTGGTGGCGCACTGCACTGTGAATCGCCTGAAATGGTCCATACCCAATATTTGATGGACAGGCAGGAAGGGTCCATTGGTACAAATGGTTTGGAGTCTGGAGGCTTATTATTCATCTGAGAGTTCCTTAACATGTAGGGTCTTGGCATTCTTGTCCAGATGTTGGACTATTTCCACTTACCTGGTACCATCTGGTCAGTAGTTCTGGTTCCGGGTTCTTGAAGAAACCTCCCACATCAGCTATTGGTCAAAAGTGAGATGGCAAAAAAAAAAAGATTATTAAAGAAAAGAACAGCAAAATCCTTCAAAACAAAACTTGTTCAAAAACATGGACAGAAGGTCCATTTCAATTCTTCTTAATTATATTTTATATTAAAGTTAAAATCAATTTGTAAATTTATCTGGTAGAACAATCAATTTTCCTAACTTTCAGTAGATTACAATAATAAAACTGTTCGCTCCTTCTCTAACTGGCTTTTGAAAACAGGTTTGAACTTTGTGATCCATGGGTTCCCCAGAATGGGATAAAAATACTGTCACTTTCTTCATGTGTCTCAAATGGCTTCAATTCAATGTGGCTTTGTAAAACTTCTCCAAAAACAGCTTTCAGAATCATGTTCTCTTACAATTTGTCTTTTTTTTTATGTCGGATTGTGATCTCGCACAGCAACACTAGTATATAACAGCTCGTTAAAGTGAGATGCAAAAAGCAAAATGGTTTACGAAGAATTGTTGCAGCGTTTCATTTTTGCTTACCGCCTATGAATGGGATACCAGCTACGCTGATAGACAGCAACATGGGCATGCTAATCTTGAGGTGCTCCCAACTTGCCTCATTGTCACCGGTCCAGATAGCACCTGCAACAGAAAGGAAATGGTAATGAGGAGGCAAGGAGTTACTTTATCCACACTGATCAGGCATATAGGATCATTTGCTTTTCATTCATTGTGTTCGTTTCCAATAATAACACCACTCAAAATCCAAAGAAGAATGTTCAAAACTATTAAACCTGTTGGAGTTTCAGCTGAGTGGATATCACACTTTTCGAGAAAACGGTGAGAAATCACTCACGAACTTTTGATCACGAAATATTATTTCATCAATACAACTCTATATTTCCAACGATCGGTCAAATGACTGATCGTTGAAAATCGCATACATTTCTTGATTTCTTCTAAATGACAGCAAGCCAGACGGAATAATTTCACAGGGTGTTTAGTACCAGTACAATCTTTCATGCAAATAAGCTTTTTGATAATACTTTGCTGGTTACTTCTGAATTCAGAATAAGAGCAACTGATCCTACAGGCCTTTAAATCCAGGGCTTTTTTTGCTAAGAACTTTTCTAAACCCATCCAAAACCAAAACTGTGCAGTATTCAAAGTAACTACAATATTACCAGGTTGAACAAGGTTCCAACAATACAGAGAAACAGAACGATATGATACGAGAAATGTATAGATTTTGGCTCTTGCAACATGGTATTAAAGTATTATTATCTTCTAATATGCTTGTCCATCATTTTTTTTCAAGCTCTGGCAGTAGCTTCTACAAGTCACTTTGGTGTCGGTCGTTCAGTCGCCGAAAAATCGACCAAAAATATTTTACAAAAATTGAGCAAATGCCATGCCGTTGTCTGTAAATGCGCTCTAAAAATTGTTTGTCACAATTTGAGAAGTTGTATATGAAAATTGTGTAAACGAAGGCAAGATATGTGTAGGATTGTTATAGTCATGTGGTATTTTGTGTAGTGGTTGGACGGTATCTAGAAGGGAAAAATGAACATTGACGAAAAGTATGGTGTTCCATATAGTCGCATTTTTCCCCAGAGCTTATTGTGCACTCGCACTTGTTTGATTATGTAAACATACTGTCAAAAAACCATTTGAAATTTATGAATACATTATTGAAGGTATGCAGTACAACGCTACAGTGAACACACAGTAGTTCATACCGGCACAAATTTATGCCAGTGATATATGCAATTGTTTGAAAAATCAACACTAGGTTTTCCGAAAGAATTGAAAATGTTTTATATCTGAGGAAACATCTTTACAGACTAGCAATTGACTGACAGTCAATGATAAATACTCCAAACCTTATTGTACTTGGCATAAAGATTCTTTGCAAAAGAATGATTTCTTACCATACTTTTGGCTTCCAGTAAAGAATGCCCTTGACAAGACGAACGATCGTTCCTTCCCATTGGATCGTTTGTGCTGACCATCCACAGTTGCCATGTGCTTCAAAAACAAATCATAAATGTAAACTAATTTAATATGTGATTGAGCTCGACCTACAAAATTTGGAGCATCGTACCAGTAATATACCAAGTGAGCTATCTACAAGGCACTACTTTTTGGATCTACACATGTATGTTGCTCCCTGACTGGACTTATTTGGTCAAGGGCAATAAATTTGATCTGTGAAAAACAGACTATTGCAATTGACAAAGGTTCTAAACTGGACAGTTCAGCTTATTTCAAAAGTTCGCAAAAGAAGAACACACTTCGCTAGTCACTGCTACAGGAGCAAGAACGAACCCCTAGCAAAGCTGATAGTTTGGACACCGAATCACGGCCGCAGGAGCAAAGGTAGACCTCCCACCACATACATCGACATACTGAAACAGGACACAGGGCTTGAAGCATCAGATCTGGGGACTGCCATGCAGGACAGAAGATACTGGTGTACTGTCGTGACTCGGGAAGACTACCCGAAATAAGCAAGTAAGCACGGCTTATTTCATGTAAAATACAGTGAAATCACGAAAAGTCAAAACCTGCTAACTCGAAAACCCTTCTAACTCAAAGTAAGAACTTACTCCCATCTAACTCAAAGTAAGAACTTACTCCTATCAATTGTTGTTGAAAAGAAAATCCATTTGATCAATATTAGTTTTTGTCCTTCACCAACGTATAAACATTGCATACTCAATGTGTTACCTACTGAGTATACAGTGTTTATTCGTCGGTGAAGGGCAAAACCTAATATTGATTTACATCACCCGACGCAAAAATTCCATCTTATGAATAGAAAATCCATTTGCTAACTCCAAACTCAGCTTAACTCAAAATTTGAGTCCATTCCCCTGAGGTTTGACTTATTGAGACTTCAGTGTATCATAATGGCATAATGGTCACTACTTGTGCAGTGTACAGTTGTCATAAACGTGTCAACTCGTCACTGGGTGTTGGCTCCACGTTTTTCTCACAGTTTTTGCCATCCATCACGGCTTTGAAGGCTTACTGTACCTACTGGGCGGTGCGCTATACGATCTTTGCCTAAGACAATGGCGACACTGACTTTCTGGTACCCGGGTGTAGGCCGGGTCGTGAGAGATCCCTATTGACATGTCTGACCTACCACATATAGACCATACAAGTTGTGCACGTCCCTGTGCTCCCAACCATCTTGATGTTTGGCATCCTTGTGCATGGTGACCTCGGGACCATTGAAGACCGAGGGCTCGTTCATGTCATTCCAGGTGAAGAGGTTCGGGGTGGAACCCTTGTAGTTCTCCAGGGAGAGTTGCTCGGCCCACCAGTTGCGAGTGTCGGTCCTGGTGAAGTCCGGGTAGCTGGACGAGCCTGGTGTGGCAAGGGCATACACAGGTTTATAAAACTGACATTGGAGAGTTAAGTTGCTGTAGACAATGTAAACCTACTAGGTGCATCCATGTTTGTGTACAAACCTTTATCAAAATCAAAGTTCAGTAAAACTCCTGCATATCTGCACTTGAAATAAACATGGGTGCATTTTCACGATATCTGCCTTAGTACCGAAACTCACAATCCATTGTCCAATGGTTTGGTCCAATGTTATGCGCATGTGGGTAAACACAGCCCAAGCTTTACGTTTGATTTTGATTTTATTCAGATCAAATCAACATCAACATATGTGATGCGATCAAGCTAAATGAGACGTTTGTCGGGAACTTTCATTTGTAGATTCAGGCCAAAATAGGGCCACTTCATGATCACATCACTTCATCACATCTCTTGATGTTCCGACTTCATAATTTTTGAACTAAAGATGGTACAAGCATGTGGTTTTCACAGCAGTAATGCCGAGATTGTGCTCTTTTCAAATCTGTTAAAAATAAAAAAATTGACCAGGGTCGACAAACAACTCATTTAGCTTGATCGCATCACATACACATAGTACATAAAACAGTACAAAGATAAGAAAACAAAGAACAGTTGATTTCGTCTGGGATAGTCTACAAAGTCTCCAACTCCACCATGCAGCGTCAACATCAAGTACCGCCATTCACAAACCAATCACAAGATTGACCAGTAACCGGTCCCCATCACCTCGGTCCCCCTGTCTCTCCATGCATCATCGGTCCCCAACCACAAACCCGTCACACATGTACCTACCAGGCCAGCACCAGCCTTCGTAATCACTGCCGTCGGGCTTCTTAATCATCAGGTCTAGTTCCCTGGCTTCTCGGTACATCCTGTAATTGTCATCCCTTTTGAGATGCGGATCAGCCGAGGCTACAAACTAACGAGGGGGGGATAAAAAGTGAGGAATTCAAAGGCTTGAAACCAAACCTTACGATACGTACCTGGCCAACACCACCCCTCATAGTCTGTGCCGTCGTGTGTCTTTACTAAGAAACCATTGTCTACGGCTTGTTTGTGCAAGTGAAATCCAGAATCCTTCTTGAGGTGGGGGTCGACTATGGTCACCATCTAGGAACAGAGTACAAATTTAAGCTTCTATCTACATGAACACCACCAATACCATTGGAAACTTAGTGTTAGTTACACCAGGAATATACCCTCGTCCATGCATTTTTGTCAGTAACCTCTGCCTGCCTTGTCATGATTGTAGTTGAGACCTACACAAATCCTCACAATTTTCTTGCCTTCCACTTCTGTGTTCCGGGTTCGATTCCTGCACCGGTCCACATGTCAGGCATGCAACCGGGAATTTAGAAAAAAGAAGGAAACTCCAAACCCAACAAGACTTTTTACAATGTTTTTCAATTTGTAATGGCAATCATGAGAAGTAAAAAACGAGGAAATCAGCAGATCCGAGGAAAAGTTGCATGCCTGACATGTGGGTTGGGTTTTCAGTCCCTACCTGATTCCGTGGGTTTTCCCCAGAATATTCTTCTGGGCTTTTCTTCCCACCTCTGAAACTGTAATTTCTTCTCACTGTCTTCTCTCAACAGGTTTCTTCAGGCCTGCGAGCCACCGTGCCGGGAGCACGTTTTGCAAAATCCTTGGTTTTATTACAGGAAATAATTAGAAGTTCATGATGGCAAGTTAATCACACGTCACCCAGTCCCAAATAAAGTCACAAGCTTTTCCAGTGGCCTGTGGACAAAGGCGTTCCTTTTTTTACTATTCATAACATTTCTTGCAAACGGACTTGTGATGGGCTCAACTACAACAGCGACAATGTGAGGTGAAATTAACAATGAGGTGTAATCAGCTGTTTTCATGCATGCTTTGTTCAACATTATGCGTAAGAATAATCAAGAAAACACAAGTTCATCCGAAATCATCCAGTCGTAAGTGCAATGACAAGCTATTTGAATGAATTGTGCAAGAGTTTTATGCGTAAGAGTTTTAATCAAGTCTACACAAGTTCATTAGAAATCATCCAGTCGTAAGAGAAATAACAAGCTATTTGAATGAATTGTGACCTTTATCATGCTGCCACCATTTCAGTCATGTACCCTGTATGCAATAACAGTACTGAATGATGTTTTTTTTGTGCAAACAGGAACCAGATTATTTTTCCTTTCAGCCTTGCTTTGGTTACGTTGATTTGAATGGGAAAAAAATCAAGATGGCTGCAACATGATGATGGTCTATAGAATGAAATTCCAAGCTGCATGAGGCTATCTACAATGTTGTTACATTTTCATGGCAGAGAAGGGAATTTACAACCAAAGGTGTTAATCTAAGGAAAGCTTGCATGCGTGCCTTCATAACTGTTTTTCCTTTTTCTTGTGACCTGATCATGACTTGTGAGTTACACTGGAAGAAATTAATTGTATACTGGACACAGTTGGAATCACAGACAATGGTTTGCGTAGCCTTTGCTCCTCATATAGGGATTAACGCCACCAGTACTTGATATAAATGTACATAAACGTTGGAGCTACAGAGGATCGTTATAGTTAGGAGTCAGGTTGGCGTAGCGGTTCTTTCCTCGCCTTCCACCGCTGTGACCCGGGTTCAAATCCTGCCCCGGTTCACATGTGGACTGGGTTTTCAGCCCATACCTGATTCCGTGGGTTTCCCCGGAATATTCTCCTGGGGTTTTCCTCCCACCTCTAAAACTGCAATTTTTTCTTGATGTCTTCTCTCTACAGGCTTTCTTCAGGATTTCGGGCTACAGTGTCCAGAGCACTTTTGAGGAATCCTTGGTTTCATTACCAGAAATATATAAATAATAACAATAATAGTGTAACGGTGTTTGTTCTTAGTCAATATGTTATCAACAATCTGTTTTGATCTTTCAGCTGTACCTTTCGCCCCTTGGCGGCCACTTGGTTCTGCATGTCCTCTGGGTGGGAGAACTTGTGCGAGTCCCACGTCATGTACCTGGGAAGATGACACATGATCAAAGAGTGCACCGTTGTGATGCCAGAGAGAACTATGTAGACCACAGACGATGTTAGCGAAACATAATGAGAGCACATACTTTGAAGTTTACCTTTCAGGTTTAAAGGTAATATCGTCGCGTCAGTGCAACAAGGTCGTAACTCCATTCTGCAACGAAGTTGCATCTCGCACGAATACGCTCCGTGCAACAAGGTCGTATCTCGCGTATCGCGACGTCCATTGACTCTGTGTGTACATCAGGGTTATTCTAAGCGAGATACGACCTTTTGATTTTGAAAACTTGCGTTCACGTACATGACGTCACACGCCATTTTAGGAGATACGACCTTGCTGCACGGACACGACGATATACAACACTTGATTCTGCTGTACTCTTCAGAAATGGATGGATTTTGGGATAACTATTTTATAGCAAATAATGCTACACTGTTAAAAATTGGTGTTCCTTGATGCTGAAAACACAAAAAAACAAGAAAAAAATGATGTTCTGGTGGTCTGGTTCCCTGACCCTACTTCAGACGAAATGGAGCAATTTTAAGATGTCGGGGAATTATCTGGTCAGGGAACCTGTCAAGCTGGCTTGCATCCGTTCACGGATGTGTAACCGATTGCAAACAGAATGAGGACTGACTAAATTTGGCAAAGTGGTGCAATATTTGAAGAAAAAAAAATTCAGTTAAACTCATAAAGGCTCACCATAGAAATACCCGGCAAAGAAAGCAGAACATCCAAAACATGTTCAGATTAATTTTGGGATAAGTATACCAACTAGTCCTTACCTTTTGCCATCGGTGTGCTCAATATCAAGCCAGATGACATCGCAGGGAATATCGTGCTCATCAAACTTAGCATCCACACTGTAAAGCAAGAATTTAATTTAGAATTAACATTTTGAAATTTCTTTTTGAAAAAAATTTGAATGAGGCATAACAAGTCGTCATACCGCAAGTCCACTCTAAAGTGAAGCGATAAAACCTTTGTGAATTTTCACCTGTCACTGGTGACCTGACTTGTGAACTGATATGCAGATTGTCTTGATCAAACTCTTGCAATGAAGTTAAAGCTATAGTCCATCATTTGCAGCTATCCGGAAAGTAACTGGCGTAATTATTGTTGAAAAACATACTTGGTTCATTCATTCATTCATTCATTCATTCATTCATATTGGTTTATTTCAATCCATTATCGCAGTTAAAAACTGAATTGCAATGGATTTAACAAAATAATAAATTATTTAACACCAAATCAACAAATTATTTGACAACAATCACCATTACAATTACACACACAAACAAAAAACCATTAAAAAACGAACAATGACTTTTACAGTTCACGTGTACAAAGCATACTGTTAAAAACATGTCCATTACAATTTACATATCGAAAAATTAAAATTATTATTATTGGTTATGCAATCTGATTAAGGTAGGAAGCGCACTGGTATAATAACGTTTTGTTCGGCAACGGATTTCAGGGATGGATGGTTTATTCCGCAGCATTCTAGTATGTTGAGGCGGAAAGAATTCACGAAAAAGATCAGTGTGTTTAAGGGTTTTGTTGAAAAAGGATAATGATATTTGATTACGTCTGTTTGCCAAAGAATCTAAGCTGAAATGCGATAAAGCTTGGGTGTATGACAAATACTCGACCCCAAGAATAATCTTCAAGGCACGTTTCTGTACTTTTTCAAGCAGAGTCACCTGATGCTGGGTAAGTGCTCCGTTCCACACAGGGGCTGCATACTCCACCAATGGTCTGATGAAGCTCTTATAGAGGGTTATGAGATCACTGTGAGGCAAACCGTAACTTTTGAGAACCCTTAACATGTGGATTTTACCATTAGCACGTTTGACAATGCTGTCCACATTTTTGTCCCATTTGAGATCACTTTGGATAGTAACCCCCAAAACCTTGATATGTGATGTAATACAGAGTTCATAATCATCAACAGAAATAACAGGCATTACAGGGCTATTTCTAGAGAAATCAATATTCATTTGAAAGCACTTACTAGGATTTAATTTCATGCTATTTTGCATAGACCAATTTGTTAGGCCGTCAATGGCATCCTGCAAGCAAGAATTCTGCGAAGATGGTCTACACTCAACAATCGATAAATCATCAACATATTTGAACATGGTTGAAAGAGAGTAAGGGGACTAAACTCCCTGTGAAATTATTCATTCTGGCAAGCTGTCATTTTGAAGTAATCAACGAAAGAAGGCCATTGCAACGGTGTTCGTTTCGTTATTCGGCGCAGCGTGCGCAAGCATTGGCACGACGCACAGGCACGGGCAGTTGCTATAATTCGTCGGATCAGTGCGCGACACCGCGTATAGCTGCAATTCAAAACAAATTCAAAACATAATTCAGCAACTTTTGATTTGAAATTGAGATCCTAGAATGCTGTTTTTCTCGGAATATACAGCTGAAGCTGAGCTGAAACTTCATCAGGTTAATAGTTGTTCAGTATCCTTCATTAGATTTTGAACACTTTTGTTGCTTCAAACGAACAAAATGCACAAATTACAAATGATGGACTATACCTTTAAAAACCAAACTGTTAATATAAACAGTAACTACATTTGTGTGTGTGAGTGACTAACTTTTTAACATCATCCTCATCATTGTAGTTCCAGCGACTCTGGTGGTATGCAACAGCAAACAGCTGCAGAAAAAAAAGAGGTTTGACAAAGGATTAGAAAACAACAAACATCACTACTCACAAACAATGCAAAAGTTTTCTGAAGAAACAGCACAGGGTGAGTAAAACAAATCGCAACGTAAATGGCAGGGCCAAAATTTAAATGAAGTTTTGCCTGTAGCACTTTCAAACTCTAGAATATGAAAGCCCAATCAATGAGCTTTCTTTTAGTACAAGAATCACTCATGCACTTTTCATTTTAATCCTTCGCGCAGCGAGCAGATGGTAAAACTCCCCAAAGTTTCCAAATATGGGCATTTTCTTTTTCAATGGGTCAATTAGGCCACGCTTCCATGTAATCTTCACCCCTACTATACACCACAAGCCTGTAGACTCCCATTGGCCAGACCCTAGCCACTCCGGAGTAAGGAGTGTTGAAAGACAGAAGCCAAGATGGTGCCCTAATGCCTTTGTGCAGTAATTGGAGATCTCTGTGGCCAACCCTTAAGTGCCGCCGATCTCTTTGTGTCAACCCCTCGTGCCGCCCAGAGCTCAGACAGGTTGTAAACATTCCCAGACGATGTGAATGACATATATCTTGTGCATGTCCAGGCATGCAGGGGTTATTGACCTAGAAACATGTGTGGTGATAAAATTCTCCCCGTGGCCATTCCGTGTAAAGTTTTTGGGCTTGAAGCTCGACGGGTTAAGGAATTTTGAACACAAACACGTAGCTGTGGATTGACCAATCAGGAGAGAGGATTCAAAGATGCTTGCAGATGAATATAACAAATCTACAGTGATCAATTGTGCATAATATCTTTGTTTTGTGGGGGCAGAGCTGAGATTGCTAACTGACCGGTGGTAGTTGCGGCATGCCGGTGACCGTAGCATACTGGTACATGACCTGCTCAGCCGTGGGTCCCATGAAGAAGAAGACGTCCATGATACCGCTCTCTGAGAACCAGTGGGTGTCCACCTGAGGCACCTCCATGTCTCGGACCAAGTCCAGCATCCTGTTGAACATGGACTGTGGGAAAAAAAGAAGAAAATGTACAACTTCAATATATGGGCAGCAATTTTGAGACTGGGGGCAAAAAAGGGTGATGAACCTGTGTTCACAGGAACGGAGTGCCCATCTCTCTTTCTTTAGCGACTGGGCCAGACTCATATGCTGCTGTGGGGGGATCGCCACACCTCCTCCACAGCGAGTCTGTTACTTTCCTAGCATTGAATAATGCCGGTACCCATTTAACACCTGGGTTGAGAGGAGTAATTGAGGTAAAGTGCCTTTTAATACTCAAGGGCACAACACGCATGGCCACGGTGGGGCACAAACCAACAATAGACCTTTATCATGCTGCCACCATTTCAGTCATGTTCCCTGTATCCAATAACAGTACAGAATGATATTTTTTTTGTGCAAAAAGGAACCAGACTATATTTCCTTCCAGCCTCACTTTTGTTACGTTGATTTGACTGGGAAAAAAATCAAGATGGCCGCAACATGATAATGGTCTCACGATCTCACGATCGTGAATCCTGTGCCCTACCGATAGACCACACGTGCCCTTATGGGCAAATGGGGGCAAATATTACTGTATCTAATCTAATGATTTTGTGCATGAAGTTTTATTACTCTAATAAATATCGAATGAATGGAACGCTACATGCTAGAACATTTTTGCTTCAAGAAAATCAGGTCCGTTTTAACTGGACTGGTTACAAACACGATGGAAACACACCAAGTCCCCATCAAGAACATGCCACATTAAAAAATTGAACTAATGCTCAATGTGTTCAGACATCAGTTACCTTGTCAGCAGTATTGGAGCTGATGTCAATCCACGTTTCTGCAGCATTCAGCCAAAGTAGGCCCACTGTCCTTTCAGAGCTGTGAGACAAATCGCAAACCCAAATGAAAATTGACAAAAGAGCACACACACAGGGTGCCTAAAAAAACTGAACACTCTAAGCTTTCTCTTTTTCACAGCTTTTTAAAATATATAAATTGCAAATATCCATACATTTTTGGAGAGCATAGCTCATTAGCTTCTCAACAAAGACAAAATATTTCCAATCGGCTACATATTTATTGAGATATGGCCAATTAAATATAAGCGCCGATTTTTTAATCCATCCACGGTCTCAATTGTCATTTGTCAAAAATGTAATGGATTAGGGGTGAGGGTAGTTTTGCTTTCTTTAATGTTTAATTTTTCTTTCTATATTTGGTTCTTTTTTATTTCTTATATTTGCAACAATGGTCATTTATCCTTTTGGAAGTAATGGTAGTCCAGAAAAGGACTGTTTGGTTAACTTTTTAGATATTTACTGTGCTGCTCTGCCTCTGTCCTCTACTTGGTAGCCTTTTTGACGGATGCAAGTTTCGACCCGTGTTCTTATTGCGGCAGTCAAAATATCAGTCGCCGTGGACAAAATGACAAAGCCGCACTTGTTTTCATTTGCCCATAACCCCAAAAATATTTACTCGATTGGAAAGAGTTTTCCGTTGTTAAAAAGCTAATAAATTATACTCTCTATAAATATGTATAGATATTTGCGACATATTTTTTTAAAGCTGTGAAAAAGAGAACGCTTTAAGGGTTCAGTTTTTTTAGATACCCTGTACATACAAAAAAGTGTTTGCCTATTCTAACCGTTTCGTGTAAATTCCATTACGGTGCACTCTTTATGATGTCCGATCAAAAATAAGTACAGATAATCGTTTCTTTTATTCTAAAATTACACTGATCTATAAAAATCCCTCTTCAGATGTTAACTTCCAATTAATTGGAGTCATTCAAATTTCAGTAACTTAAACAGTCACTTAAATTTCTTTGTGTTTACTCTCACTACCAGCTCCAAGCAAAGATAGTTCCTACTAGACTGACTAAGACCAACTGAACAATCAACACATTGCAAATATGTTCTGTCAAAAGCAGACGCTTCTGGGCAGATGTTGAAATTGAGATAGGGCCAAAAAACACTGTGGGGGTGATTTTTATCGATTTTCAATTTTTTGCATATTTGTAATCCTGAACATGTCTAAAATATACTATAAAAGTTTGAAACCCTAATTTGAACTCTACATATACTATTTTTGATGATTTGTTGAGGTATATCAGTTAAAGAAATTACTGTTTTGTGACGTTCGTGGCCATTTTCTCCGTTTTCTACTTTTCGACACAATGAACTTCAAAATAGCATAACTTTGCCCAGGAATTACAGGTTTCAAAAAATTAAACCACCTATTACAAGGAAAATGTACATATTTTAACAATATGCAAACATCTCATTTTGAACCTTATGCCTAGAAAAGTCTGATTTTGACAGAACAGGTCACATATGTTCCTAATTAACTTACTTGTGTGCCAACATGTACGGAACAGAGCCGTACAATGCCATAGGATTGTACAGCTCATACTCAAACACGTCCAGGTTGTATAGACGATAGGGGTCAGTACTCCTGTTGTACAAAAAAAAAATCCAAAAGACTGGCTTTAAAAAAGCAAGTATTTTGAGCAACATCAAGTGAGCAAGAAACATCTGCATTCCAATGTTTCAGTGATGTGTGTTACAAGCCAATTCGGGATGATTCACAATGCAGTGCGCCACCAAGAGTTTGCCACGGAGAGTTCATGTTTCCCAGTGCATTGTGGGAGATGGTCGACTAATTTGCAGCACGGGAAATTTGAAATTGTTTATTTTTCCAGTCAGTAGTTTTGTAAGCGTATGATTCGAGTATCTGTTTGCCCTTTCCTTTTCTTTTTATCAATGTGTTTTTTTTTGGTAAGGCGGCAGAACGCTATGCCCCAATCTATAACAAATTAGCTCAAGTTGTCTACTGACACTCATTCAAATGGGTCATGTTTTGTCTACCGTAAACCTGAAAAATGGACTCTCCATGGCAAACTCTTGGTGGTGCACAGCATAGTGAATCGCCCAAATTAAAAAACTATACGTTTCTTGTCCCCGCCAAGTTTCCCAACTGCCTCCATTGTTTATATTTTGCAAATATATTTGCAGTTAATTATCTTTTTACTTGTTTCCACCAAAATTGTGGCTACATGCATGTAGAAAAGGATGACGGCTCCTTTGGACACAATTTTGTATCGGCAAAAGAGTCGAGAAGTTGCAAGAATCCATCTGCTATCTTAGAAAAACTGCCATCTTTGGGGGAAAAAAGGGGGCGCCTCCTTCATTTTTTTGAAAAAGCCCCAACGAGAAACTGTTTATTTCAATTTTTTTACTCAGCCTTGAATTCCATGGTATTTTTTTTGTAACTTTCCTGAATCCTCCAAAACCTGCACTGTGCTAGGACCCAGTGAAATTATTCCGTCTGGCTTGCCGTCATTTAGAAGAAATCAAGAAATGAAGGGGATTTCCAAAGGTCGGTCAATTGACTGATCGTTGGAAATAAAGAGTAGCATTTACCAAAATTGTTGGGTTTTTTTGTGATCAAAAGGTTGTAAATGGTTTTTTTTCACTGTTTTCTCAAAATGTATAGTATAGTGTAAAGCTGGAACTTCATCAGGTTAGGTTTTGAGCATTCTTCTTTTGGATGTTGAGTTGTGTTATAACGGGAAACGTACAAAACGCATGAAAAGCTAATGATCCTATATGCCTTCAACGCCTGTTGCAACTTGTCGCAATTGCCAAGGTTGCAGTTGAAAAAAATCCTATTTTCTGAACACAAAACTGGCAATTCTATTCTACAGATCAAGTCATAAACATACTTACACAGTTGTCTTAAGTGCAAAGGTATCTGCATGTTCAGGTATGCCGTACACGTGTGCAAAGCCGGGAAAGGAGAAGTCTACCCCAACCGATTCAGGACCTAGCGTTCAATCGATAAGTAACAATGATAAATCAGTTTGCCAAACAAACAAAATAATATGATGAAAAGAAGTGGAAGCTAATTTTTTTTTCTCTAATTTCATTCAGCAGATGGATTGTAACAAATTTTAGGTTTAATAATTCGAAAGACTGACTGGAGCAGGATTTGAATCTCCAACCTCTGGTAACCGTACCGGTGCTCAACCAACTGAGCTATCCAGCCCCGTTTGGTTTATATTAACCCTAACTCCCTAGCGTCTTTGACTAGGAACTGGACCAAGTCCATCAAAATCCATCAATCACTGTGCGTCCAATACAAAACTGTATACGACATAATGGAATTCACCACCTACGCACTGGTTGACATTCATGGACTTGCTACACATGGCTTTTATCACAATAGCAGTACAGGAAGCCAGGCGAAATCAATCGGATACCCCTAGCACTGCTTCAGGCCATTAAGCCCAAGTCCATCATACTCCATCAATATTTAGTCACTTCAGGCCTTCTGGACCAAGTCCCCCAAAATCTACCATAAAATGGGGGGATGGATTCGGATGGAGTTGGGGTGGTTAGGGTAAAGATATAAACAAATTCGTTGACAGCGTTTCTTGCAGTTTTGTAATCTTATTTTATACATGAAGGCTTACCTTTAGGTTTGCTGTCCTTGTGCGTCTTGAAGGTTTCTTCCCACATGCCTGGTTCCTCTGGTTCCTTGAGGAGGCAGAAGATATGGCAAAGATCAGTCCTCAACTTCTCGACATATTTTGCTTACTTAAACTCAGCGATTCTGCCAACGTTCTGGATATACAGGGGCATCGCTGGGGGGGGGGGGGGGGGGGGGAAGGGGGGGGTATCATAACCATCCACCCCCTCAATATGAAATTCCTGGCTAACTCCCATGACAGAGTGGTCCGTCAGTAATTTTCTTGTCACTTCCGCCATTGAAATTGGTCTGGCGATGCCCATGTGGAAATGTCTTTACAGCTCCGAAATTATTTCATGTCAACTGGTCAATGAAACCTAAGGGTAAAACTCAGTCAAAAAATGTGGAGTAATGCCATCCAGATATAAGCTTTTTACCTCTGCAGATCATTTTCGTCTTTCTTGAATAAATGCAACGGAGATTCCCCAACCAATGCAATTTTGAACCTAAGTCTGTAATTGCAGACACAGGATCATCAGTAGTTCATGTATCACATGTTAGTGGCACTGTCTCTGGTATCTCTCCCCCCCCCCTTTCTATGTTGCCACTCCCCCCCCCCCCCCCCCCTCTGAAAATTATAGAGAGTGGCACTCTCTCAGGAATCCCCCTCCCCCCCTCCCCGGGACCCCAACCCCTCCCCCTGAAAATGTGTGTTACTGCCTACCTCGTCCACTGCTTCTTCACCTTCCTCCTCTGGTGACTTAGGGCTGCATGGAATTAAAAATATATATATAATTTTGGCAATGTGGGAAAGAAGCTAATGATACACTCAGTGTTGGCATTTTTGCTTGGAACCGTCATGAATCCTTCAAATAAAAAACTCAAATCACAGCAAACGAGCAAGATGATTTTTAGATTTGTATCAGAAGTAGGGTTTCGTATTAATACTGAAACTGCTTTTTTATTATCAGTTCCATCACAGATTTAAGAAGTACCTCTTCTTTTCTCGCTGCTGTTCATAGTTCATGAGCCCCCTGGAGTTGACCGAGATGATGATGTAGCCATTCTGCAAGACGTCCAGACGCAGGGGTTTGGCCGTCAGACGGACGGTGACGTCACTGGCAAGCGTGGCCTCAAACGAACCGCTCGACTGAACGACAGTCCACCTGCACATCGGAAGAAAATAATACACACAACATCAGAGAGGAGTTCAGTAGAACGCCATGGTCCAGTGGTTACGGTGTTTGACTCATGTACGAAGGTGCCTGGGTTCGAACCCTGCCAGGAACATGGTGTTTGTGCTCTTGGGTATGACACTTAACTACAATTGCCTCTCTCCACCCAGGAGTATAAATGGGTACCTGTGAGGGTCGAGGACCGATTGAGCGCTGATATCGGCTGCCGCGTGGTCCCATGGCCTGATGAACGGGGTGATAATTGTAAAGTGCTTTGAGATTGTTGATACGATGGAAAGCGCTATATAAGCACAATTATTATTATTATTTGTTACAGATGTTCTTGCCATCGAACCAGATAATTCTGAAACAAGAAAACACTCTTTAAGCAAGGGTAAAATCTCATGAATTTCCTTATGGGGTATAGGTATAAATATATTGTGGAGTGTCATGGCCGAGCGCTTAAGAGCACCGCACTTAAGCTCTGGTGTTTCTGATCAGCAGAGTGTGGGTTCAAGTCCCGGTCTTGACACTTGTGTCCTTAAGCAAGACACTTAACCATTATTGCTTCGTCCTTCGGATAGGACGTAAAGCCGTAGGTCCCGTGCGCTGTATAATGCACGTAAAAAGAACCCAGTAACACGTATCGCTAAGAGAAGAGGTTTGCCCACGTGTTTCTGGCAGTGGCTGCTTAATGCGCCGCAGCACCTTTTCAACCCTTATAAGGTGCTACATAATGGGTCTCATTTCAAATACTCCATTTACCAGTCTTTAAAATGAATTCATATTAATTAGCGCCTTGAGTACTTAATAGTTGGTAGATGTGTGTGCTAAGACTCCGGTATTATTATTATTACACAGAAACCTCATGTGACATTAGTCTATGGAAAGTGTCACGGCTCTAGCTTTTGCAATCCTATCATTAAAGGGAATATACAACATTTGCAAACAACGAAAAATAAAACTATCAAGTTTTTGCGAAATACCTTAATAGGATGTTGGTAAATGACAGTCTAAAGCATCCTGTAAAATTATGGCACCTGGTATACTGTCATTTTCAAGAAAAGTGGTATTTTTGTATCAATTTCCAACGCTGATCGGCCGATCAGCGTTGGAAACAACTGGCTCTTTATCAAATACTGGCCCCAATTGACCATTGCACTTGTTTGCAATCGATTACAAACCTATAAACGGGTACGAGCCAGCTAGACTGGTTCCCTGACCTTACAATTCCCCCAATGTATGTAAACTGCTCTGTTTCTTCTTATATGGAGTCAGGGAACCAGACTACAGGAAAATGATCGTTTTTCTTGGTTTTTATAGCATTTTCGAACCCAAAACCTCCAAAAAGTTAGTGTAACTATATTTGCTTTATATTTCCGACCCCCCAATTCCACCCATTTCTGAAAATTACAGCAAAAGCAAATGATGTATATTCCCTTTAAAACCTCCTTATGAATTTTGAAGGATATGAAAGGGCAACGGTCTCAAAAAGCATGCTAATAAGAATGACTGGAAGAATTTGAAAAAACCCTGAGATGAAAAAAGAAAAGATGCACTTATTCTCTGGCCAGGTGCCAAATTTGTATATTTTTTGTTTATTTGCGAGATGCCATTTCATATTTAAACTGAATCAAATCTAAACCTTCTTTTTTTTTTTTAAATGTCTCCCACCATTTTAAATATCCCCGTTGATAAAAATCTTGGCAGTGACTTGTGTGAGAGGGTAAGGGCCAAGTCGTCATGGAATCCGAGCTCTGTGTTCTTTCCTCACCTGCTTTTCTGCAGATTCGGCTGCACCACGTCTGGTACCTCGTATCGTCTGTTGACGGGATCTTTGATCCGTAGCCGGACCGTGCTCTGATCCAGGCCGTGCAGTTCCAGCTGAAGCCTGATCCCGGTGGCGGAGTTGAGGACGGCCAGTTGGACCAGATCGTCCGAAATCAGGAGGGTGCCCATCAAGGCTTCATAGGGAGAGTTGCCCGAATCCAAGTCACGGTTTCGTCTGGGAAATGGATGGACATAGGATTTCTTTTTAAGTTCTAAAAATGCCGTTTCAAACACTGAATCAAATTTCAAACTGCAGGTTTTTAGAATTTGTACACTGCATTCCTCCCAGTATAAAAAGGAGAAATATTGCAAATATGTAAATGTGTAATGTTCCAAAAAAGTTTAAATATTATTAGTTATCAAACAAGCACGAGTGAAACACAGAATAATGTCGTACATCTGTGTTCTACATACCACGAGGCCCAAGGCCGAGTGGTATTTGGGATGCAGACGCACTACATTTTCATTAGGCCAAAAAAAAAATATTCGGTCTCTGGTCAGACCAAAGTTCCGGAATTGACGCGGCCACGCGGCTTCTTTTTTTTTTTCTTCAAGCTTGGATTGTACAGACAAGGTGGGGTACTATGTTGCTTTTTTGGTGTCCTCATGTACATTGGTGTCCTCCATAATTTGCCTTGGTGCTTTCGATCATTTGCCTTGGTGCAATTTCCCATTCCTTGGTGCTCTTTGGTAAAAAAAATTGAGGAAGTGCGGAAATAGAGGGCGCTGTTGAAGCTACCGCGGAACATTTTGAAAAAAGAAAAAGATCGACGCGCATGATTAAATTCGACGAGCGCGCTGACCAGAGACCGACTTTTTTTTTTGTGGCCTTATCACTGTATTTTCATTTCATTATCTTCAAGCAAACTTGACGCAAAGTAAAGTTGGAACAAGCACGCATGCAGCAGAAATAGTGTGCGAATCTTGGAATAGCCCGATATGTGGCATGATGTACCGACCGTGGTATATGGGAAAATGTAGCACAGTTTGTTGCTATGGTTCGACCAATTAAGTTTGAGGATTCAAGTTTGCCTGAAGATAAATCGAAATATTGCATTGTGAAGGCGCCCATATTTTTCCGTTTTTTCACGGCCAGTACTTCTTATTATATAAATTACAGGAAAAATACTTGCAAAGTCACCGAAATTGAATTCCATGTATCTTTTTAACTTACTTGCAAAAACTACTTTGGCTACATGTTTTGAAGTTGTTCCTATCAACAGCAGAGACCAAAGCGATCCCAACCAGCAGATATAGAATAAATAGAGATCCCTCCATCATCCTGAAACAAAAAGAAGACATTAATGTCAGTATGAATAAAATCAATATTTTTATTTCCACAGTGTTTTGTAAAATGCCACAAATCCAACACGTAAAACATACATTCTGTGCAAAGTTGTCCTTTCAGTCAAAATCAATCAAGTGGCCAGAGTTAAGAGCTCCCAGCCTGAATACCGCAGGACTGACTGGCTGTGACTGTAATACTACAGCTATGCTTTGACTGTAGCCAGTGTAGGTGATTCAAGACAGCTGCGCCTACCACTTGCCTGATCTTGTATGTTGACTGAATTTGACTAGTCCCTAGTGGCTAGTGACAGTAGGGGAGACGGGGGTTAGTTGGAACGATTTTCACAAAAACCTATCCATAACACAAACAGGTTTTCTTCAAGAAACAACAACTATGCCAATTTATTCATACACATGTGTGTTGCAAATGTAGCATATAAACTTCTCAGAATTGTTGATGGTTATTTAAAAAATCCATCTTGATCACAACTATGACATGCGTTCCAACTAACCCCTCCTATGGGGTTAGTTGGAACATGGTATGGGGTAAGTTGGAACTTGGTATGCTGTTAATCTGAAAGTATACTACAATTACTTAAAAACTGCATTTATATTTGAGTTTCAAATAAAATAATTGTTCCAAGCACTGGTGATGCTCCTAACATTTTTTTTAATTAACAAACTGGCAAGAAATGGCACAAACAGCACCAAGACAAAAAAACACAGGAAAATTGCGAGGCAAGAGTCAGCTACAAGCCTGATCATAAACAGAAAACATCAAAATGGGAAATTTAACTCCCAAAAATAACATGAAAAGCTTGCATAAAATTGAGGTAAGGCCAACGTGACCTGTCTATGTGCTTTCAAAATTGTTTGCTAAGTCAGAATATTTCCTCAATTATCATCATTATGTTCCAACTAGCCCCCATCAAAATGTTCCAACTAGCCCCAGTGGCCCATGTGACATTTGTTTGCTCACTCTACAAAACAGGGGCTCCAATAACATATCTTTTTAACCTTATTTTGTAGCTTAGTACTCGAGCATATAATACCCCCAAACTAGTCACTGTTATCTATAAACATCATTAAGAAAGTACACATTTTTTGAATGGTGAAAAAATTACTCAAAAGGTGAAAAAACAAACTTATCTTTCCCACTTGAGCACTATTGTTGCAGTGTGGCTGCAGGCAATATGGTGGATGGCTGTTGCTAAGGGACATCTCTTGAGGGCAACATTTTATAAAATTTAATTAAGATGATCAAGAAAAATTCATTGTTTCAACTAACCCCGTGTTCCAACTAACCCCCATCTCCCCTACTTGCTGAAACTTGTTGAAAAAAAAATGTTTTTCTGAATTCTCTGTGGTGCAACTCATTTTTGTATGCAAATATTCTGTCAAATTTAGTCGAAATTCGGCTAGAACGGTCCCTCCTTTTTCAGATATGTACTTTTCGTGAAATTTCCAGATTCGTTTGCACACGTTTGTGTATCAAAATTTCAACATGAAATTTCACAAAAATTAGACATCTGAAAAAAGGCAGCACTTTCTGATTAGCCTATTATTATTAACTGGGTGAGTATGCTTCTAACACTGTAACACTAGTAGTAGTAACAAGTAACATCATGTCTAACTCTAAAGCAAAAATAAACAACAAACTAAGCCTAAATGTAAAAATCAAAATTTGACAAAGTTTGACATGTTTTTGTACATGGTGGAAGTGTGGCCTTTATTTACGGAGGTAGTCCAGTAAATTGGCCACATTGTTCCATGTACACTGACATGTTAACATACACTGATACAGTGACATACAATTTACGTGGGGCGATTTGGTATCACGATGATTCATGACGCCCGAACATTCAGTTTTTCGGGATTGTCCTGGCTATTTTATGGCAAAAATCATTATAAAAAGGCCCAACCTAAACCGATTTCACCCTCTGATGTTTAATTAAAGAATTACCAAAACGATTAGTATTCCATTGATCTAATAACCGTAAATCTTCAAACCTTCAACACTTACGAAAAAGTCCACGTCGTTTTGCGTGCACAGGAGGCCGCCATGTTTTTCTCTGAAATTTCGCTGGTATCCACTCGAGCGCATCGATCTCAAATACAGCAATACAGGCTAATCCACAAGCACGACTTAAACTAACACAAATGATTGTGGGTGAAGCAGCGGCGAAGTGGAACTCCGCGGGGGTCCTATCCCTTTCATCCAATCGTGTCAATGTAAATGCCAGAATATACCTAAAATATGATCGAAATTCTTGGGATTTCAAATCGCGTGTGGCTAGCTGAGTCTGAGAACCAGGGAAGTCAAGGAGCGCTCCGCAACACAATAAACATTCGACGGTGATAACATTAACAGATGCACAGAAAAATTGCAGAAATGCACTTCTATCGGTATTTGAAGGCATAAATCTTCATTTGTTTTGAAAAAAAAGAAAATAATGTCGTGTGGAGGAGGAGCCCAAGTCGCAAGTGAGTTTCTGTTGTGGTATTACTAGCTTCCAGCTCCAACATTTTGTTCAATGCAATTCACATTGAATTGTACGAAAGCCCATTCATTAGCGCGGAGCGTTACTGTTATTACGGATTATTAATTCGTTATTACGGATTATTAATTCGTTATTACGGATTATTTAATTCGTTATTACGGATTATTGATTCGTTATTACGGATTATTTAATTCGTTATTACGGATTATTAATTCATTATTACAGATTATTTAATTTTATGGGGGGGCCTATTACTATTAGTCGGATTATTAATTTGTTATTACAGATTGTTTAATTCGTTATTACGGATTATTAATTTGTTATCACGGATTATTTAATTCGTTATTACGGGTAATTAATTTGTTATTAAGAAGTATTTAATTAGTTATTACGGATTATTAATTCGTTATTACAGATTATTTAATTTGTTATATTACAGATTATTAATTTGTTTAAACTACGGATTATTAATTCGTTATTACGGATTACTAATTCGTTATTACGGATTATTTAATTTGTTATTGCGGATTATTGATTAGTTATTACGGATTGTTTAATTCGGTATTACGGATTATTAATTCGTTATTAGGGATAAAAAAAAATTTCAAGGGGGGCAAAACATATTTCTCAACATACTCTCTCAACATATTCTCTATACATCTTGGCATTCTCTGTACATGTTAATTAAACATGGTCAATGTGATGGGATAAGTTAACATTATTTTAAATCGACCTGTTTTGGTAAATGGACATTTTTTCGACGAAGGTATGCCCTATAATTTATGTAAACTTTGTGTCAAAATAACCACAGGACATCCGAACAACTGTCAGAGAAACTTGGCGGGATTTAAAAAGTGCATTGCGACAATATAAGGAAAAAAAATGTACAATGTACATGGAGGGGGTTGGCAATTAATAATCCGTAATAACAAATTAAATAATCCATAATAACGAATTAATAATTCGTAATAACGAATTAATAATCCGTAATAAAAAAATAATAATCCGTAATAACGAATTAATAATCCGTAATAACGAATTAATAATCCGTAATAACGAATTAATAATCCGAAATAAATAATTAAATAATCCGTAATAACGAATTAATAATCCGTAATAACGAATTAAATAATCCGTAATAACGAATTAATAATCCGTAATAACGAATTAAATAATCCGTAATAACGAATTAATAATCCGTAATAACTAATTAAATAATCCGTAATAATGAATGAATAATCCGTAATAACAAATTAATAATCCGTAATAACATATACTTGCAGTGGCGCTAATGGGCTTTTGTAGAATTGCGTTTGCGTAGGGCCTATCTACTATCTAGTATAATCTAAACAAAGCAATGCGATAAGCATTGGACAGAGCTGGAGTTACTCAAGTTTTATACTGAAGAAACACGATCATCATTGTTATTTATCCATGCCACATAAAAAAATATAAACATACATATATCACATTCACAATCAAGAAGGGCAAACATATTAGGAAAACAAAAGTAGTCCTAATAAAAGTGGTCGAGGACCTGTCATACAACATCCAGATGTAAAAATTAAAATTAAACATTGCACATTTTATAAAACAACTAAAAGTAAAAACGAGTCGAGACAACAAAAGACAAGACAACACAGAACAGCACACAATAATGACACAAGACAGCAACCCAAACATTGAGCAATAAATACAAACAAAATATATATAAAAAGCAATAGTATACTCTGGCTCGCTTATTTTCTCGCATTCGCTGATTTCCTTTTATCTTTTGTTTCAGATAACTCGGGGAGAAAGCATGATGGATATTTGAAGTATTACTGTAAGTACCTGATTAGGTAAACATTGCAGGAAGCAGTCCTTCTGATTTGAAAATCACAGGCGTGTGGAAAAAGGCACACCTGGATTTTTCTAGGCGTGTGGTTTTTCTAGGTGTGTCATTTTCTAGGTGTGTGATTCTGTGGTCCAGGGAAATTCAGGCGTGCAATTATTCACACCTCTCGGGAAGCTTTTAGGCGTGCGATGGCGTGGGAGTGCGATCGCACGCCTCAAATCAGAAGGACTGAGGAAGTGACTTTTTTTTCAAATTCCCTTGCTTCAAGTTCAAACTTTCCTGAATCGACCAAAATTTGAACACTGTATTACAGTAGTCTATTTTCCCATTTCTGATGATTTTGCTACAATACATGTTACCAGAATCCAGTTGTGGGGTCCTAAATCTATTAACATAAAGTAGGCCTACATAACCAAATGTTGAATTATGGCAGGTTATGAATGCATCACTTGCACTAATTGTGGAAACCATTAGCGTATTACATTGTATTCATTTTGTGATAAAGGAAAGCAATACACAGCTGGATGGTTTGAGCCGGAGAAACAGCCAGGTGGTTTAGCACGGTACAAGGGACTTAATCACAGTGGGGGATCCAGGGGAGTGCGGAGGGGGCACACCCCCCCCCCCCCCCCAGCAGGGACCAAAATGTTCTCAAATAATGCCATTTTTCACTTGAGAGAGCCATTCCGCCCTAGCACTCTTTCAGCCAATCCCCATCCCCCCTTTCACTTGAGAAAACCATTCCACCCAGGCATACCCTCAGCCATCCCCCACCCCCTCCCCCTCAGCCATCCCCCCTCCCCCTCCCTCCTTTTACTTGAGAAAGCCATTCCACCTAGGCATACCCTCAGCCATCCCCCACCCCCTCCCCGTCAGCCATCCCCACCCCCTCCCCCTCCCTCCTTTCACTTGAGAAAGCCATTCCACCCAGGCATACCCTCAGCCATCCCCCACCCCCTCCCCCTCAGCCATCCCCACCCCCCCTCCCTCCTTTCACTTGAGAAAGCCATTCCACCCAGGCATACCCTCAGCCATCCCCCACCCCCTCCCCCTCAGCCATCCCCACCCCCCCCTCCCTCCTTTCACTTGAGAAAGCCATTCCACCCAGGCATACCCTCAGCCATCCCCCACCCCCTCCCCCTCAGCCATCCCCACCCCCTCCCCCTCCCTCCTTTCACTTGAGAAAGCCATTCCACCCAGGCATACCCTCAGCCATCCCCCACCCCCTCCCCCTCAGCCATCCCCACCCCCCCCCTCCCTCCTTTCACTTGAGAAAGCCAATCCATCCCGGCATACCCTCAGCCCCCCCCCCCCCATCCCTCGCTGGATCCGCCTTTGAATCAGCAGTGTTTATTCCTGTGTTTTAAATTGGTCAAAGTAATAAACCGTAACCTCTGTCAGTATTGTACGAGCACCTATATTGTTACGCCCTAATCATGCAAGCATCAGTCACAACTTTGTTAGATGCTGTAGTTTGGGTGTAACAACATCAATGGACCCGCTTGACTTATCACTTGAAATGCTACCTCCAACACACGGTATTTTTCTGCATGTACAGGCGGCCTCATCTTCAAAGGGTGGAGCAGGCGCTACCTTTGCATCTACAACGACGGGGAGCTGGTCATCAAATCCTCGCAATCAGACTCCAGCGTCAAGAGCTCCTGGGACGTCAAGACGGAGTGCCAGAGCCTGAGGGTGGGCCAGCAGTGCACCCGCATCGCTCCCAGGCCAGAGACGGGGGCCAACGTTCTCCACATCTTCGCCTTGACCATCAACAAGAAGAATCACTTCTTCCAGGCTGATGGCGAGGAGACACTGGTGTAAGAATGTCCGCTGGACTCTCTGTATGAAATGTAATATTTAGGGCCTATGTATTAGAATCATCGCTAAAAGGTTTATGTGTGAGTGTAATACCCCGAGGACAGACGGACAAAGGCAGAACAAAAGATTCTTTGTTGTCCTCGAGCATTTATCTTTTGTTGAAAATGGTCCTCGATCATGCACTTGTATGGCAGAGTGTTATATTACAGGGACAAAGGGAAACGCAAAGCCATGTCCTCGAGTGTATATAAAAACAAGACTGTGTGTATGTGTATGTGTGTTTTTCCAAGAGTTGCTCGACCGCGAAGCGGGTACAGGCGGAAAGCTGCCTCCCCCGTGTAGCGGGCTAGGGGAAGCCTCATTAATGCATAAATTAAAAATTCTCCTCCAAATCTGTTTACATTTTGCTTACATTTTGCTGAGCTACGTATGCTCATTGAGTTTTCTGAGGAGTAAAGATTTCACTGTAATGTAGTTTGTCAAGTGATTGAGAAACCACGTCATTTGTTTCTATTTCGCTCAAGGTATTTACCATTAAAAGGATCACAAAACATCCGCATAATATTTCAGAGCCAGCAATCCTTCACAGGTTAAAGTCATTCTTTCATCCATTCCACCATTAGAAGATTCTAATCGAACATAATATTCTGTGTTCTTCTTTGACTTTACCCTTGATACAGAGGATGGCTGAAGGCCCTGTACGAAGTCAAGGGTATCCAGCCAGGTAATCCCCAGGGCCAGCAAGCAGGCTCAGCACCCCAGGGGCCACCCATGCCCCAGGGGCCTCCCATGCCCCAGGGGCCACCCATGCCACAGGGCCCACCCCCACCAGGATTCATCCCGAACGTTACAGGTAAGAAAACAGCTTTCATTTCAACATTTACAAGATTTTTCAAAAGAAAGGGAGGGGCTGTAGCCTGTAGCCAGTATAGTCTTGGCCCAAGATGCTAGTGATCGATAGTGGATCATGCATAGTGCGCCCTCTATTGGCGCAACAATTAGACCAGCGCGCCTACTCGCACTAACGTCTTGGCCATTTCGTATCAGCGGTTTAATTTTTCTTTATTTTCTCCCTAGGCTTTCCTAGGGAACCAATCAGCGATTGAGAAATGGTTCAATGGCTTGCCGGCCCGACGGTTGTAAATATTTGCGCTATATGTGCGGTGATCAACATCATCGCTTTCCTAGGGCACCAATCAGCGATCAAGAAATGGTTTGGTGGGGAGGGCGCGACGTCTGTGGCAAATGGGAACTGCCGTGTTGTTCAAATTTATGCAGACGTCCTATTTACATAAAATGGCCACGCCCCCATTGTTACGAAACGACCAAGACGATAGTGCGAGAAAGTAAAGCATCCATTTGGGTGATTCACAAGGCAGTGCGCCACCAAGAGTTTGCCATGGAGAGTATATTATTTCAAGTTTTTACAGTCGACAAAACATTGCCCATTTGAATGAGTGTCATTAGACAAGTTGATCAAATATGTTATGGATTGGAGCATAGCGTTCTGCCGCCTTACAAAAAACACCATATTGATAAGAAAAGAAAAGGGCAAACAGATCCTCGAATCATACGCTTACGAAACTACTGACCGGAAAAACTAACAATTTCAAATATCCCGCGCTGCGAATTTGTCGACCATCTCCCACAATGCACTGGGGGAAATGAACTCTCCGTGGCAAACTCTTGGTGGCGCACTGCATTGTGAATCGCCCGAATTATGCAAGGGGGCTACACAACAATGCAACTATCGCTCTTGATCACTGATGTTTTGGGCCAAGATTATAGCCAGTATTGCAAATACCTCTGGGAACTAATACCAACTTCCAACCCTCAAACCATATATTATTTGTTGTACTATACCTCATAAATACATGTAGTCACAAAAATTTCACAAAGTTACGCATAAGGTTTTTTGTCAAAATGTTGTTGTGTGTGCCCCATCTTTTCATGTACATGTAAGCTGCTGCATGCTGCTAAGGCAGTGTTCGCGTGTGCACACTACCCCCATGGGCTAGTTCCACGATTGCTTCGTAAAACGCATGCGTAGTAGACTAGCGCACTGGTAACCAGTACGATAGTCCACTACGCATGTGTATTTAATCTGTGCATGAAACCTCGCGTGCCTGCTTGGTATTTGAAATTGGAAAGCAAAATTATTACAGTATCAGATTTTAGAGAGTTCACAATAATATTGATTGTTTACCTAAGTCAACATGAAATTATTTTTGAAATGTTTACCACTATTATTACCATATTTTTTTACTCACTGAAACAGGGCAACCTCCTCCACCATACCCACAAAGTTCACCCTACCCACCCCAGGGCTATGCACCACCTCAGGGCCATGCACCACCCCAGGGGCAATATCAACAGTACCCGCAGCAGTACCCACAGCAGTTCCCCCAGCAGGCAGGTTACGGCCAAACGAGGGTGGTGCAGCAGCCGCAACACACTAGAACGGTCATCGTGAACCAGAGACCGGCCAATGATGGGTTCGCAACAGGCGTGTTGACCGGTGCCCTGCTCGGCGGCTACGGACATGGATGGGGACACGGCTACGGCTATGGCGGAGGATGGGGCTACGGGGGAGGGTGGGGCTTCGGCCATCACCACCACGGGTTTCACGATCACCACCATGGGTTTCATGATCACCATCACCACCATGATCACCACCATGACCACCACGACTATGGTGGGGACCATGGCGGGGATTATGGTGGAGATTATGGTGGGGACATGGGTGGGGATTATGGTGGCGACATGGGTGGGGATTTTGGTGGGGACATGGGTGGGGACTTTGGAGGGGACATGGGCGGTGACTTCGGTGGTGATATGGGCGGGGATTTTTAGGGTATTGAGTGGTGTAAATGGCAAACCTCACAGGGGGGGGGGGGAACGTGTAATACAAAACCTACTTGTCATTGCTGAAATCTACACAAAATTCTCTGACCAGTCACTTTCAATGTGAATTATGTGGAGTATTTGTCGAGAGGGGAAGGGGGCTGGGTGGGGTTGATTTTCGGTAAATACTCCATGGTATGGGAAAAGTAACACTGTGATGTCAAAGAATCACAGGCTGAATCACATGTTTATCGTGGCACATACAAGGCGAGTCAAAAAAACGATACCCAAATGTTGGGACTATTGTTTCAGTGAAGTTCTGCATGTAGCATTTTCAAAATCTAGTATATGAAAGCCAAATTCATAAGCTTTCTTTTAGTCAAATCATTTGTGTGCTTTTCAACATACGATGCACTTTTCAAGTCATGGAATTTTAAACACACACTACTGTTTTAAAGTTCTGTCCACGGATCACAAAAAAGGTGTGCATTCTTTCAGCAAAACGAAAACAATTCACTTGTGACTCGTTTTCAATTTGCTGAAAGAACCCTTACTTTTTTGTGATCAGTGGACAGAACTTTAAACGGTGGTTGTGTTTAAAATTCCATAACCTGAAATTACACAAGTGATTTGAATGATTCTTGTACTAAAAGATTGCTTATGAACTGGGTTTTCATATCCTAGATTTAGAAGGCTCTGAATGCAGAATTTCACCAAGACAATGGTCTCGACATTTTGGTTTCGTTTTTTTTTTATTTTTTTTTTTACTCACCCTATACACTGAAGTTTGTTTTAGCTTGAGATGAGTAGGGACATAAATGAGGTCATTCTTTGCTAAATTATTTGTGATTAGATTTGACTTTGTCCAAAATTGTCCATTTTCTGGCATGAATGTTACCTCTGAATCTAGATATATAAGAGGCTTTTTTACATAAATGTGACAAAGCAGTGTTTCTTATTTCGTTTCTTTTATTCCTTGAGGCTTTCTTTTACTATGGACAAATGAGAAGAAGACCCATGAAAATGCCAAAAAAGAAGGGGGGGGGGCGGAGAGTTCACAATTTTGTGAGAAAACCTTAAACTGCAGCGTACTTACACATTGTTTTTGTTTAATGATACTTGTAGATAATTAATACAGTTTATTTTTCTAAACTAGTCATCACATTTGTTAATATACCATGTGAAGCGCCAAAGTATCCGTGATTGTGTGTCTGTGGCCATGGTTGACTGAGTATTCGTTGTTATTCAGTCAGTGGGTCAAAACCTGTACTGGGCCAAGTTTTACCTGGCTAAGATTGCTGGCTGGTTTGTTGTGTGGAAAGAGGCGGCCCGTGGCCACGTTGAAGGCATTGGGCCATGAGGGGTGAACTTCAACAATGAGAGTGGTTAAATCACCGTGTCAAAATTGAATGAATTGTGTTAAAGAATAGGATATCTTTCTTTGAATTGAGCCGTTCAACATGCCCAGAATACCAGCTACCCTTTAGCACAAATTTGACCCAGTGCAGGTTTTGGCCGACAGGATAACAACGAATGCTCAGTCATCCGTGGCCACAGACACACAATCAAGGTTACCATTGGAAAGAGGACCGTTGGCGTTTCACATGATCTTAAATTTATTTGAAAATATTTATTAGATTTTTTTTATAATTGACATTTACATTTGAGTTTCCTTTTTTTTGTATACACCCTGTATTAAGTTGATATACGGGAGTGCCCTATTTGATATGAAACCTTCCCAAAAATGACTTTCCCATTTTAAAGTATTTTCTCTCAATTGTACATAAATATGTGCTACACACTTTAGTTTAATGATGTTCCTCTGATGTGAAACCTTCCCAAAAAAGTACAAACTTTGATCGCATGGCTTGGAAAGCACAGAAAGTAAATATTACCTGGCAAGAATTGGATGACACAAATGCCTTTTTTCCTTCAATTTACCGACTTTGCCTGTAAGCAGCTTTATACAAATCTGTGTAATATAACAATATTCAATTTAGTAATCATCGTCAATGTAGAGTGTTAATGGTGTAAAGTAAACCCTCCCTCTCTGGCTGAAAAATTCAGCTAGGCCATCGTAGTAGTCAAAATCAATCAAGTGACTGTTTTTAATGGTTAGGAATTCCCTAGTTAATTTAAAATAGCCAGGCTTTGACTGGAGGTGATTGATATGCCAGCTGTATCTACCAGTTACCTCGTTCGTCTGTTGATGGAATGTGACTGTCACAGTGTTTACATGAATGTGATCGACGTGTTTTTTTTACTAGCCTGTATACAAATGCATGGCAGGGGAAGTGGAAGAACTTTTTGACTGTCTGTGACTGATCAAACAATAGGAGGGTTTTAATTAGGAGGTAAGCCTGTGGCAGTTGATGCAAATTTAACACAATGAGCAAAGAAATGTCTTATTGGGTTAAGATGTCACATAGCATCTTGTCATGTGTGGTACTTGGTTGGTGGTCCTCCAAAATATTCCATCTGGGGAATGTGTGCTTCAGTGATTGGAGTACAATGATAACTATTTTTTTTTTTTTTTATCTCGCATTGATTCAACGGTCTCTATAGATTGCCACAGCTCATTTTATGCCATCCATCATATAATATAGGTTTTACCCGGCTATTTTAAAAGATTGTTCATTCAAACACCAACTCTTTCATTCAATTTCGTCCACGAAAAATTTCACACGCTTTTAAGAAAAACCAATTTAGTGATTTACCATTCAATTTTAAAGTTTGGTCGTCCTCTTTAGTCGCCGGGTCGAGAATACTTGTCATTACAGATCAAATTCGTCTAAACTGTTACCGAATGGCAGCATTCAGAGATCGAATTCGTCTTATATGAATCACTTATACGAATTTGATTTCTGAATAACAAGGTTTCGCATAGATGAGACGAAATGGAATACTCCGGTACGAAAACGTGTGCTCATTGTTTGAATTTGCTTGAACTGAATTTGAAATTGTCCGACAAAGGACTAAATTAAACATTGGAAGTGCACTTAATCGATGTTGATGGACGTATTTGAATATTAGAAACGGTGATTTCGAATGATAAACGTTTGAAAATGGTCGTAAAAGGTTTTTAATGTTCTGACGCTTAAATGGCACTGATTCACTCATTGCGATCAAGTAATAGAGTTACTACCATTGGTTAGTTTGTGTGTGTGTTTTATTCGGATAGTGTGCAATATCGGTTTATTTATATCATAAACATGACAATAGATATCTTAACAGACCAAAGGCTGATGAATGAATGGAACTATTTGTGAAACTATTCATAGAACATTTATTTAGTATTTCTATACTTTTTTCCTTTTTAAACATTTCCTATTTATAATGTGTTGTGTGTGCGTATTGCAGTGCCTTTCATAGTGTGTCATTATTGTCTAAGAGTTTACAGAAACTGACAAAGGTTGAATAAACATTCCCATGTAAATAAAATGTAGAAATGGGCTGAGTTTTGTCGTGTCTTCTTAACCTATTGACCTTCCCTCGTTGCGGGCCGCATTTGACTCCAACCAAGGCTAGCGTAAAGAAGGCGCTATTTGGAGAGGATAAGTTGGAGTAAAAACGGTTGCAGACCAGTAAATAGACTGCAGACCTCGGTGATAAATACAAGCACTTCCCAAAATTATTTAAAAAAATACTCAACTCTCCAAGGTGGGGGGGGGGGGGGGGGGGGTTGCTAACCACTGTTTTGGGCCAAATAGAGAGTATGGCCGGATTGTTAAGGAATGTCTAACTCAAACACTACTGAATACCTCTCGCTGAAATAACGACTAATCAGTACAGACATTCCTTAACAATCAGGCCATACTCTCTATTTGGCCCAAAACAGTGATAATGTGTACGAATTTATGCAATTTATGACAAATAATACCAAAAACAGTTGCACATTTTGTATACGTGCAAGTTGTGGTTCACCCTCACCTTGCACGCATACAAAAGTGCAACTTTTTTCTGTACTATTTGTCATAAATTGCATAATTGTGTACATATTATCACTGTTTTGGGCCAACAAAGAGTATGGCTGGGTTGCTAAGGAATTTTCGTACTGATCTGTTGTAGTTTGAGCATGCAAGATGTGCCCAGGAGTTTTTGAGTTAGACAACAAAAGTAATGAGGGGGGGGGGACTTTCTTTTTTGGTTACGTGTAAATGACCAACAATAAATAGCTGTTAGAAGTTGCAAACCCTGTGCTCTTCAAAAACTGTACTTATTTTCTCGTAACGAACTTTAAATTGGTTTGATTCGTTTCAACGGAATAACTACTTTATTTTAACTTGGGGCATCTGCAACCCTCTGAAAAGGGGCTTTCATTTTGCGCACACAAGAACCCGTCCTGCGAGAGTCTAATGATTGCCTGGCAGCCAAAAATTTTGAAAGATATAAATCAATAACTAAAGGACTGTGGATTTTTTTTCGTTCGATGTTTCACTCAAAATTGAATAACTTTTATATTGCTAGGAAAATAGCAATTTGAACACAACAAATCTATTTTTCGAGGTCAAAATACCAAATTAACACGGGTACGCATCTATAAAATGCAAAAATGTATGCTCCTAATATGATTTTTTTTTTTTGGCTTGAGAAAAAAAAAAACTTAATTGATAACTTTCAGAAAAACAAATTATAAACATTCCGTTTACATTGCCCGCCTCGTGACCGGTTATGTTTAGAAACATTATATCGTGATTAACTTTTAAACGCTTATAATTTTTTTAAGTGTGTAAAAGTTTAATGCCATGACGTGATGTTTAGTGTTTCAAAGCAGAACCGTTGATGAGGCAAATTTGTAAACGAAACGTTTGAGGCTTTGTTGTTGGTACAAGGATACCTGCAAATAATCCGACTCAAAATTGAGCCCAGGCCTTTTACGTTATCTCCCTTAAAGCCAGAGTCCATCATTTGCAGCTATCCAAAAAGTAAGTGCAGGCGTAATTATTGTTGAAAAACATACTTGGTTGAAAGATAGTAAGGGGACTAAACTCCCTGTGAAATTATTCTTTCTGGCAAGCTGTCATTTTGAAGAAATCAACAAAATAAGGCCTTTCCAACGGTGCCGGCTTCTTAAGAAGCACCGTAGGAAATTCAAATTAGTAGTTCGTTTTGTTGTTCGGCGAAGCGCGCGCAAGCATTGGCACGACGCACACGCGCCCTCGGTTGCTACAATTCGTCGGATCAGTGCGTGACATCGCGTAGCTGCAATCGGCTCAGTGAGAACGTGTCTCGGACGCTGAATTCAGGCCCAATTCAAAACATAATTCAGCAACTTTTGATTTGAAATTGAGATCCTAGAATGTTGTTTGTCTCAAAATATAAAGCTAAAGCTGAGCTGAAACTTCATCAGGTTAGTAGTTTAGTACCCTTCTTTAGATCTTGAGTACTTTTGTTGCTTCAAACGAACAAAATGCACAAATTACAAATGATGGACTATACCTTTAAACGCGTTACAATGTTTATAAACTGTTGCCCCAACAAAAATATAAAGCTAAAGCTGAGCTGAAACTTCATCAGGTTAGTTGTTTAGTACCCTTCTTTAGATCTTGAGTACTTTTGTTGCTTCAAACGAACAAAATGCGCAAATTACAAATGATGGACTATACCTTAAAACGCGTTACAATGTTTATAAACTGTTGCCCCAACAAACTTATAATGTGTTCAAATTTAAACACTACACTGCAAAACACTGTGTTAAGCAATTGAACACTTTTCCAAACACTTTCTAGCTATAGTTTGTAAACTTTTTTGTAAATACTAAGCATGTTTAGTGTAAGGATGGATACTGTTTAGCAATTGAACATTGATGTTTAGGAATTGAACACATAATGTTTAGCTGCTAAACATGTTTACAAAGCCTGATAGCAAGATTGTGTTTAACTGCTTAACACAGTTTTTAGAGTGTAGGTTTTTACAGTGAATGAGTTAGCCTACTTACAATGCCTACTTTCGCCTTGGGGGCTTAACACCATCTTCCAAAGGGGGCGCTATTCAAAACGTATACCATGGCTACATTACACAATAACTACCGCGATTCGCTTTCCAAGGGACGTTACAATAAACAGCCACTCGCGAAAAAAGGAAAATTTTCTTGGAAATAAAAGCCAATGGTTATCAGTTAGTTTCATTGAAACACTTGGACGCGAGCCGATCAATGAGGCACATTGTCGTCGTTACAGCAGCCATGAAACCAAGCGAGAAGAACGAAGCACTGTAGCTCTGTGTCATGTCGTATAACGCCCCTGAATCGAAACAAATGAAAGAAATGAAATCACAGGACAGGAACGATTGGGGTGAGTGGTTGTTTTGTCCCAGACTGGATTGAAGTTTAACTCCCCTGTTTTGCAGCCAGTCCCGTGACAAACCTGGTATTTAAGTTGCCTTTAATTGTCTATCAACAAGATGAATCGAATCCATGTCTTGGCAATATTGGCAGCACTACCCAGGAAAATTCTGAGCATACCTCGCGCGCATGCATTAGCTTCAATACAGCGCGCGTGAGGTATGCTCGGAATCTCATTGGTAGCGTTGCTAATATGGCCAAGATTGGATTTGATTCATCTTGTGATAGCAACCTCCTTGTCACAGATCGGCTGTGCAGTGTGTCTCAAAAAAATGCAAACAAAATATAACGGAATGCCGGACATCAAATGTGTTACCAACACAGATAATATAGGTATGGTTTGAAAGATAAGCCTTTCCACTTTTATAACATGAGACATCAAACGTCAAAATCTGATAATTTGTGACATAGTTATGAGTAATTTTCCTAGAAAGGTCAAATTGACCATGGGACCATTTTTAAAAGTTGTAACACTGGTGTTTGCAATACCTGTCGATCTTTTTAAGCCTTGCGAATATTTATAAGGTTCCTATGCATTATGGTGTGCAGTAAAATTTTGCAGTATCGCCTCCTTCACGAGTTATTAATTAATAAATATCACCCTTATTGCCGGCTTCCATTGGTCTATACCGAGACCCACGCGAAGTCACGCCGAGTCACGCTAATGGATATGATAATAAAGCTTTGTTGTCCCAAAATCGGCCAACCTGAAATGCACGTGAGTTTGGTAGGCAAAAAATCCTCTTCGAATTTTCCTTTGAGATAGTTCAAAATGTAACGCAAGCGTTTGCGACAACATATTAAGCTGAAATTCGGAATATATTTAGATGATATAAGTGTTCAACTACTCGTGAAATAACAATTTGAGGGGATACCTAGAAATGGAGATAAATACATAGATTTGGGGACGTTCTCGAACGATTTCTTCCCGACTTTAAGGTCAGCTTTACCAGTAACCAGTATTGACGTTTCGACATCGATGACGGCGATTTTGTTCACTGACATGAAGTTTAGAATTTCTTCTTCTTTTATAATTTAACATTTCAATCATACTGAGCATATTCTCTGAGAAACACAGCGTTCAAAAAGCCATGTTTTTTGGGGTGCATAAATTGCACTGCTCTGTAATAGCGTTCAAGTACCGGTACGTAATCAGATTAACTTTGTTTCACAACGGCGACGCTTCAGTTAGGTCTTCGCAACCACATGGCTGTGTTAGTTCGACTGGCAGCTTCAGTAAGCCGTCTACGCTACGTGGGCTAGGTCCTACTTCTCAAAGACATACACGATTGCAGCGAACAAGTGAAAGAATCGACATTATAAGACATTAGTTCGCTTCCGGTTGCAATATTGTGCAAACATTTGGGACCTACGCACAAACTCTGACAAAACTGGGAACTACAAGAGGGACGCCAGTGTTACGGACATTTGTAAAAGAAAAATTGACTGAGGTTAATTCTGGAAGAACGCAGGACAGTTAGTAGGTTAACTTTCCCATATACTAGGCCATAAATAACATGGTAGCTTTCCAGGATGACAAACTACCCAAAACATCTAACATGGGTCAACTATAGGGGCTGCACATCTGACTCTTCGTTGAGTTCCACTAAATTCACACCAACAAGCCTTGATTGCTACAAATATTCCCTCATTCCACGTACAATACCAGAGTGGAACATTATTCCACTGTCCACAAAGGAAGCCACAAATCATATCAGATTTGTTAACTTTGGATGTGACCTCTTAAACCGCACTCAACTAGATTAATATCTTGCTGCCAGCACTACGTGTTTAACACGAAATCTTACCCGCCAGAAAACCGCCCAAGATCTCCCCAGCGCCGAATAAGCAGGTACCTATGATGCAAATGTCCATGACATAGCCAGATTCCTCGTAGAGTTCTTTTGAGACCGAGGGAATAATCCAATTGACGATTCCTTCTGCGGCCCCATTTATGCTGGCCAACAACATCAGAGCCTGCAGGGTAGCACGCAACAAAAAAGAGTCTAATTCATTAATTATACATATTTTTTTCTTTATTTTGAAAAACGCTCACTATCTCGTTTGAAAGTATAATGGACGGGTTTTACTTTAATATTTTTTGTTTTTACCCGGGATGTGATGCGGTTGTCGGAGTATAACAATCTGGATCAAAATTGGCAACATTCTTCCTTTCTTTTATTTTGACCTTTTGTAGATTTCCGTTTTCCTTTGCAACGATATCATTCCAGGAAATGTCATCCATGCTGTTTTATTGCAAACTTACCAAACAGTTATCTGCAGCCGCATAGTCCAGGAAAAAGGAGACAGTGTTAACGAGATTAAGTATCACAAACATCCAGAACGCACTCATGAGCTTGCGGTCCAGGATGAATGGGTGAATAGCCCGACCGAGGAGATGTCCAATCCCCCCTACAAAAGTCGACAGGAAGGCAGCCTCAAAGCTAGGTATACCCCTCGCTATGGCGTGTGGAACCAGGAACACCATCCATGCCGCGAAAATGGCCCCCAGAAGGGGCCATGCGGTTAAATGAAGCAGCACCTTGGGATGTTCAATGCAGAGATGCATTGAGAGCCATTGGACCAATGCAGAGGCGAAGGCACTAAGCTTGGAACGGATGTCTCTCGGTCTGTCATCAGATAAACTTTCGATGTCTTCTTTTTTCAGTTTCTCATAGCCTGACGACGGCAGCCGCTGCATGGCTCCAAAGGCGGTGACGTTGAAACTGGCGGCAGCCATGATTAGCATGGCGCCACGCCACCCATACGTCATCGTCAGAAGGTCGACAATTGGTGGACAGACCATCATACCAAGCGAGCCGCCCATTCCAGCGAGGCCAAACATTAGGGAGAAACGCTCAGGGAAAGCCACCAGCAGGAGCACCAGTTGTGGAATGTACGCAAGACTTAGACCAAAACCTGAAAAAAAAAAAAATCCATTCTCAGCTTTTTGAAGTATATTTGCTACAGGGGCATCTCGCTTCTCTCCATTGCCGGGAAAATCTTTGCAAGGGTCATCCTCAACAGGCTGGTCACCGTCTCTGAGCGAATTCTTCCCGAAGCACAATGCGGCTTTAGATTCGCCAGAAGCACGGTGGACATGATTTTTGCTGTGAGACAACTACAGGAAAAGTGTACAGAACAGAAAATGCCCCTCTATTCAGTGTTCATTGACCTGACCAAGGCGTTCGACACGGTCAACAGAGAAGCTCTCTGGACTGTGCTTGAACGCATTGGATGCCCGAAGAAGTTCATCAAAGTGATACGGCTCTTTCACAACGGCATGACCGGTCAGGTCCTCACTAGCGGCGAAGTGACCGAAGAGTTTGCAATCAGCAATGGTGTGAAACAGGGCTGCGTCTTGGCGCCGGTCCTGTTTAACATCTTTTTCGCCCACATGCTATCCCACGCCGACCAAGACCTGGAGAAAGGAGTTTCCATCCGTTATCGCCTGGATGGCGCCCTCTTCAACCTCCGTCGCCTCACCGCCAAAACCAAGTGTCGTTACGACCTCATCCAAGAAGCGCTTTTTTCCGATGACTGCGCACTGATGGCCCACACAGACTCCGACCTGCAGCTCATGCTGGACCGCTTCTCAGAAGCCTGCAAGCTGTTTGGCCTGACAATCAGCCTCAGCAAGATCGAAGTGCTCCACCAGCCTGCCTTAAACAATGACTCCCCTCCTCCAACCATCACCATCGATGGCACCCGGCTCTCCAACATCCAGAGCTTCAGGTACCTGGGTAGCATCATCTCACACGATGGCTCCCTTGATGAGGAGATCAACACCCGCATCAGCAAAGCAAGCCAAGCGCTAGGGAGGCTCCGCAACAGAGTCCTGAACCAGCACAACATACGCCTGATGACCAAACTCAAAGTTTACAATGCCGTGGTTCTCCCCTCTCTCCTCTATGGATGTGAATCATGGACACTATATCGCAGGCACATCAAAAAGCTGGAGAGCTTCCACATGCGTGCTCTCCGCTCCATCCTTGGTATCCAGTGGCATGACCGCATCACAAACCTCGAGGTTCTCGACCGTGCAAAGTTTAACAGCATAGAATCAGTGCTCATCAATGCCCAGCTGAGATGGGTGGGGCACGTCATTCGCATGGAGGAACACCGGATGCCAAGACACCTGCTGTACGGCGAATTGGCGTGCGGCAGACGAAAGCAGGGCCGGCCCAAGAAGAGGTTCAAGGACTGCATCAAATCCAACCTCCGGATGTGCGACATACATCCTAAGGACCTTGAGTCCCACGCCAGTAATAGACCACTTTGGCGATCGCTTGTGCACAAGGCCAGCTCCAGGTTCGAGGAGGCCCGTCGACAACATCTGATTGCAGCGAGGAAAAAACGCCACCAGCGAGACAACCGGCCGACGACAACGACTGACTTCCAGTGCCCCCATTGCTCCAGACTCTGTCAATCCAGCTTCGGATTGCGGAGCCACCTTCGAGTTCATGGAGTTGCCAAACTATGACGTCTTCTTCGGATCCGAAGGACCACCACCACCACCTTTCCTATCTGAACTACTGTAACATCGTTTGGGCACGCACATCTACAAATAAACTCCATTCTTTAATCAAAGTCCAGAAAAGAGCAATTCGCATATGCACCCTGTCTCTCCCCCGTGACCACACTGCACCTTTGTTCGCCAAATTACGCACACTAACACTCATCGATATTAATAAACTTCAAACAGGTATCATAATGTATACATTTACCAATAATCTCCTTCCCTGCACATTCTCATCGTACTTTACCTCTGTTAATAATATTCACCAATATCACACCAGATCTCACTAAAACCTGTATGTACCATTCACTCGCACTTCCTACTCGATGAATACTCTACGCTTCTATGGACCACGTCTCTGGAATGGATTTGACCCACTTATCAAATCTCAATCCTCTGTAGGCAGATTTAAAAATCATTACAAGATGCATCTGCATGCTCGCCCATTATATTACATAGCTTCTCCGCTTCTTCGTTTCTCTCAGTTTAATTTGCCTGCTTTTTACCTTTTGCTTTGCTTTTTATTTATCTTAATTGTCATCTCTGCCGCTGCTCCTCTATTGTTCAATACGCTTCCGTTATTATTATTGCACTTTTGTAATGTTTATCACATTTGTTTGTCCTTTTCTCTAATTGTTTGTTAAATAAGATTTGAGGCTTTGCATGGTGGAGATACTAAATAATGAAAGGTTTGCGGAAACACCATGTGCGAATAATTTCTCAACTAAGAGAATGGTTCTGAAAAGAACCAGAGGTATAAACTCGACGTTCCAGTCAGTATGCTCTGACCGTCTTCAGGAGAGTGCCTAAACTCTAAGAAAGTGAATTGTTTGTTTGTTTGTGCTTGTTTTTTTATTATAAACGTTCATCTACCGTGTGAGTTGTTATGTTTGTGTACAGGCATGTTATATGTTATAAGCTTCGGCTTTTGTTAGCATGCCTCCATCAGTATAATTTTTCATTATTTTGTATTATAATCAAATGTTGTGAAAAGATCGAAATAAATGTTCTTGAAATTGAAATTGAAAAAATTGAATAATCGTTGAATTTGAACAGCGCCCACTATTGAAATATGGTAACAGTCCCCCCCCCCCATTAGGTTTGGGATGTGTGTGAACCTTGCTATTTGTTAATGTTGAGTACAGAATGATAGCAAGGTCAATGAAACTTTTGAATGAAAAAAAAAAACCTTCAGAGGAAAGGTATGAACATTTGCCCCTATTGAAAGATCGAATGAATAAAAAACCTGGCAAGCATAATCAACTTTGCCACCATTGTCATGGCCGAGATTATTGCTTCGGGTCAAAGCTTCCATGCGGAAATATCATAGACATGTCATGATTTTAGATACCTTGAGAGACCTATCGATTCTGCACTGCCTGAAGATTTGAAAAATACCTCCTCTTGATATTTTACAGTGTTGCTGGACGTTCAAAGCACCCCGCTTAGCCGCGGCAAAACTAGAAACGAACAAAACGAAGGAGATATTTATAGAGCAAGCATAATGTTTAGCGTAACGACGGCGCAATTTCATCGTCCTTAAATTGAACACTGCTGGCTGGAACACATTTTTTCCCCTGGAGAAAGGGGGGGGGGGGCGTGCTGAAGCATATTTCAGCACCCCAATCCAAAAAGTTGGGGGTGCTGCAGCGCTCACAGCACCCCCCCCCCCCGTTCCAGCGGGTTTTCATTTTGGAGCTCCCTATGGCCAAGTAGTTAAGGTATAAGCAATGTCATCAAATAAAATTAATATTTCAACAAATATTAACATCGAGTAAAATAACACTGTCGGCAAAATGAATAAATCTTAAAAAAAAGAAGACTAATTGGTAAATTTTAAACAGTGACATCATTTTGACCTCTTAGTCTGTTGCATCTAGTACATATAAAGCTGATATGTCATTCCTGAGTCCAAGTGGCGGCCATTTAAAAAAAAAGCTGGCAGCCACCTTGAAAAACAGCCCCAACGGGCGGCCATTTTGGAAGAGAAAAAAGGGCCTCCTCCTTCCTTTTTAAAAAAAGGCAGGACGCTAAGGCCAAAAAAAAGTCTCCGGTTTCTGGTATGGCGCTTGCCCAAAAAGTGGTGCGGCGACGCGGCTTTTTTCTTTTTACCTGTTTTATTTTTTGCTTCAAATGTCGGCTGATGACTGCAAATGGTGCCCGACTAAACCTAGTGCAAATATATGGGAATCCGGAGAGGCCACATAAAGGTTATTCTCGATCATAACCCCATCTAAAAACACGTTAAAATTGTGCAGCAGCAGGATTCCAGTCAATCCAGTGAGTTTGGCGGTTTTGAGACATCATCTTTTATTGAAAAAACAATTTTTCATTTTGCCGACGCGCATGGCTACGGCGACGCGCGCATACCAGAAACCGGAGCCTTTTTTTTTTGGCCTTAACATGCTTTTTTTTTTTTTTTTAACTTGGCATTAAAGTAGTGTAAATGAAGATAGTACGTTGGAGAGTGGAGACAGTAGAATCGGAATCGGAATGTAGAGTTGGAATGAGGGAGGAATCGGAATGTGAGTGGCGTCAGAATGTATGTGGATGGGGGACTGGAAATGTTGGTGGAGTCGGAATATGTGGGTGGACAAAAATCTCATATCTAACAAACTCTTTAATAATTATGTCTACCAAATCTCAATAAGATCAATGACACTCTGACTTGCATTCAACAGCAAAACAACTTAATTACCAACCTCACTTTACGCATTGACTTCATGCGCAATCCTCACGAAGTGTTGCATGATGACACAAAATGAATGGAAGCGAACCACGTACATGTTCTACTAACATTTCAGCAAAGAGTGAAGTTCATAGAGCCGAGGTGGGAAACGAGAACATCAAAAACAACCTGTCCATATGAGGTATTTATCCTTCAGTTATATCAGCTCCCGCCCCGCGATCAGCTATTGTGTAAAGTGGCTGGATTGGCCTGCATAACTATATTCTAACAATTGTAAAGTTCACAATAGATTCAATAGTGGACAGCCGGATTACAGCCGGGTCAGAATATGACAAAGCTGAGCAGCCTTGGAATTATGCCAAGTTATATGCACAATCAACGTGCATGCAGTACCCGTGGACCAATTATGGCCAAGTTCGCGCAAGGACTATAGTTGACCAATGGTTAACTAATGTTTGCCCGAACTCTGTCTCACGGTCAACGGTGGTTGACTACGCTAGTCGACTATTTGGAACCAGCCTACTGGGGTTGGTTGCTTCGCTGGTAACCAATAGCCGCGCGCATTCATAACGCTAGCAGAGAGCCAGGAACCAGAAGTTTTGCGATGACATTTTGACCAGCGTTTGACTAGAGACGTTCGCACGTTGCTATCAGTGCGCAGGCGTAAGGTACGTCACAAATCAACCACTAGTCGACTAATGGTCCTTGCCCGAACTTGGCCAAAGCTGATTGGACTGCCATACTGTCCGCATACGCGAAGTTAAGCCCCAGTCACAAATTCACGGTTTGGAGCGCTACGCATATCCACGGTTTAAAATTCGTCAAACCATGGGAGTACCGTATTCATCCTTAGTACCTCCGTGGTTATCCGTCATCTTCCTTGGGTATTCGTGG